TTTCTGAGTTAGTCAATATGGTAGAGAGTCTAAAGAGTTAAATGACAGCAGCACTGCTGTTTGTCTTCTGAATTAGTCACTATGGTAGAGAGTACTGAAGAGTTAAATGACAGCAGCACTGCTGTTGTTTTCTGAATTAGTCAATATGGTAGAGAGTACTGAAGAGTTAAATGACAGCAGCACTGCTGTTTGTCTTCCGAATTAGTCACTATGGTAGAGAGTACTAAAGAGTTAAATGACAGCAGCACAGTTGTTTGTTTTCTGAATTAGTCAATATGGTAGAGAGTACTGAAGAGTTAAATGACAGCAGCACTGCTGTTTGTCTTCCGAATTAGTCACTATGGTGGAGAGTACTAAAGAGTTAAATGACAGCAGCACTGCTGTTTGTCTTCCGAATTAGTCAATATGGTAGAGAGTACTGAAGAGTTAAATGACAGCAGCACTGCTGTTTGTCCTCTGAATTAGTCAATATGGTACTAAAAAATTCAAGTAATATCAGTATTTCTTTCTGACCTCTGAATGGTAGGAAAGTCTAAAGAGTTGATTAAAAGTATTATTATTTTCTTCTCTACAAATCTCTTCAGTATGATAGCTGTTAGCCAGAAACTATTAAAAACATCACTCATATAATTCACAATTTTCAATGTGTGTTTTGTTAAAATTATATTATCACACTCAAATAGAAACAGTTTGTTGAAACACACTCGCAAAACATTCATATAAAGAAAAGGATACACTAGAATTTTTACAGTTATGACGGAAAGTGAAATTTTAACAAACTGATTAGATTTAGAAGTTGATCAAGGTGTAGATATTTTAACAAACAACTTACATTTAGACATAAGCAAGATGCAGACATTTTATTAAACAACTTAAATTAACAGGCAGAGCAAGGGGCAGACATTTTAACAAACAACTTAAATTAATGGGTAAAGCAAGGTGCAGACATTTTAATAAACAAATTAAATTAAAAGGTAGAACAAGGTGCAGATATTTTAATAAACAACTTAAATTAACAGGTAGAGTATAGTGCAGACATTTTAATAAACTAATTAAATTAACAGGTAGAGCAAGGGGCAGACATTTTAACAAACAACTTAAATTAACAGGTAAAGCAAGATGCAGACATTTGAACAAAAACATACATTTACATGTAGAGAAAAATGCAGACATCATTTACCAAATACAGTAATTGAAGCTCAAAAATTAAGAGTATAAGAACTTCTTAAGATGATTAACTGTTGATATAACAAATGATCTAATTTAACAAAGATTGTCATTTTAACACTGTATGTAGCATCATATGAAATTAATGTTATACTTATCACAATAAATCAGATAAATAGTAACAATCAATAAAGTTTCATATTTAACTTATCAGGCTCATGTTTCTAAGCAGAAGACACAGTCACCTGTTTTTGAGTTAAAACTTAATTTTTCACCATTTCTGAAAAGCATGCAAACTAATTTAATACTAACATAAGTAGGTTGCAGCAAAGGAGGAAGGAAAAGATAAGTTTGTCCTTTTCAAATAATGATCTGCAGACATTGATGTAGAGACTATAGGTGAAATGGTCATTCAAGTATCTCAGTCGTCGTTCTAGAACCTTGGATTTGTTGCTGTTAAATATATATATAGTATAGTTCATTATAACTATTAGTAAAAACAAAGCACATGTCATATAAATGTAGGAATGACATTCACAAGATTGATGTTATAGATTATTTACCTCTTCAATACATTCTTACTTCTCAAGGGATATAAATATACTGAAACTAGAGTATGGATTTAACTTTATAAGGTTATCTTATCTGTAGCAAAAAAAAGGTTGTATATATATATAAACAAAATTTAAATCTGCTATACTTTATCTAAGTACTAAAAATACAATGTGGCAGTGGAGTTTTAAGGATTTCTCAAGTTGGCTCTACAAAGAACACAAAGTGTATGATTCCATGAAAAAAAATACAATTTATACATAATGTTTTGGATAAATATTACCTTTTCCAACTTTTATTACATATAAAGAAACAATAACCTGGCTGGTCTGATCAACTCTAGTCTAATCTTAATGTACATTGATATTTTTATTTAGCAGGTTTTCAAGCCCAAAAGTCTCAAACAGAAATTCAAAATACCAAATAAATCTATAAGCAAACTATTAGATCATCAAGAAATTAATGTCACTTTTTTTGGATGAAAAAACCCAAACAACTTATATATATATATATAAAAAAAATATTTATTAAATTAAATAGTCTTCTTTCTTATTGATGATGCTTTTCCATCTTACCATCATGTTGTTAATGCCCTGGTTAAAGAAATTACTTGGCTTTGAAGCAATAAACATGTTGTTGTAATCTGATAGTAATATGGAGAATATGGTGGGTGGGGGAGAACTTCCCAACCCAACTCCATAATCTTGTGTTGCATAAAACGTGCCACATGTGGATGTGCATTGTCATGGAGAAGAAGAACACCTTTCCGATTGATGAGTGAAGGGTGTTTCTGATGAAGGGCTTGATTCCAGTTGCTGACTATAGATCTCTGCATTGACAGTTCTCTGTGGAATGATGAGTTCAAAATGAATTACTCCTTTGATGTCCCACCAAATGCAAAGCATCACTTTCTGCAGATGGAGTCCAAGTTTTGGGGTCGGAAGTGATTTTTGTCTAGGACTGAGTCATTGTTCTGGGTGTTTAATATTTGCATAGAGAATCCATTTTTCATCACCAGTGACAATTCTGTCCAAAAATGGTTCATGCGCATTATGCACCAGAAGAGATGAAGTAACATTCACACATAGGAAACGATGATCATCGGAAAGTTCGAGAGGCACCCAAACACGATCTTTAAGGAGTTTTTCCATATTCCTAAAATGTTTACATATTGTTTCATGAGAGACATGCAATTTCAGGGCCATTTCATGAGTGTGGTGTGTTGCCTTGGGTTAGGCTCAACAAGCATATTCAGAGCATCAATATCAAGTCCAACACATTGGCCATTACCATCACAGCTTTTAAGGCTAATGTCACCTGAACGAAATTTGCTGAACCATCATTGACACTTACAAAAGTTCAAAAAATTTCCATAAACTTCTTTGATATTCTTTGTGGCTACAGAGGCATTGTTTCCCTTCTTGTATTCAAACAGCATTACATGTCAAATGTGTGTCTCATGTGCCATCACTATAAGGGATTAAAGTATACTAAACTTTACACTTTATATAAGCTGCATTAACGTGACATTTAGGCAGTTCGTTTAACTATTATAAGAGATGTATGTTTTTTGGGAGGTGGTTAATGAAAAATTGCAACATTAATTTCTTGACAACCTAATATATCCAAAATAAGTAATTTACGAATAATGTCTGAAAGGTATAAATAATTTCTAATATCACAGTTACTTTAAGAAATGAAAACTATGTCTTTAATAGTAACTGACAAGCCCACAATCTACTTATGGCAATATTCCTGTAAATAAAGCAAATACACTTTCACTTGGATAAGTTTCTCTCTTTAATTTGATTAATTAAATAAATTTCTCAAATTTATCATAAAAAAGTTATATTTTGTCTTCAGTTATACCATTTGTGAAGGAGAACATATGGTAAACCCCACGTTGTATAATTTAACTCATATGTCACAATGAACAAAAATATTTAAGTCAGTAACCTAAAGAGCATAAATCTTTCCAGCACTAAAGGTATACATATGATAATAAAATTATTTCCAAAAAGAAAAATCAAATCTTATCTATTTCTTTATATTTGAGATCTAAGTATAAAATGTATAATTGAAAAACAAAACAATTCTGCCTTATCTTTTATGACACTCTCAAATATCATGGTTTATTCCAATCTCAGAAGCAATTAAAACAAATTCAGACCTGCTATTTCTACAAGTGCTTTTCCATTTTGTTTTAAAGAAACAAGTTTGCCATTTATTGTATTACTTCATTTGTCCCCACTATGGAGATGGTTTTATATATATATATTTCTTTAACTTATTGTCAACAAGTTATATTTTGTGCATCACATTTAATTTTAAAACCTCAGAGATATCTACTCTACAAGATCATGTTTATTAGCCAGCTTATTTAATATGTAGCTAATAACTTCAACGTAAGCTGTGATATGAATATAAAACAGTTACCAATAAGGTAGAGAAAAATAATAAACATCAAAAATAACACATTGACAATTTATAATTTAAAAAGTGTTAGATATACACAACTGTTTCATTTAGATTTATTATGAGAGTTAAGATCTGGATAGTTATAAAGCACAAGTGTTAAGTTAGTATTGTTACGTATCTGCTTGTAGTATAAGTTCTTTCCGAGGAACTTCAGTAATACAAGTCCTTTCTTAATTAAAACTAGTTTATTCTTTCTCTATACAACTTTGTAATATACAGAATTTCCACATTCAATATGTTTGCAATCTCGATAACAAAACACACACTTTATATTACTGTCACTACCATCTGCTTTACTCAATTATCTATATCTATCTATCTCTTCAATCATGCTGGTTTTTCAAGCCTGGCTTATATACTAAAAAGAGGGTGTCTGGCCAACACTCGAACATTTGCAGGGTTCCTCAATAATTTGAGAAACTCCAGCATCACACTGTCGTAACAGTATTTTTAGAAGCAATAATTTATCACAGGTTTGTTTACATAACTGTTTAGGAACCATTTGTTGTGTAGTTCAATTGTTGTTAATTGACGTCACATTACTTGAACATTCTGAATTTTTCTTGTTGCTTTAAATGAGTATTATTATACCATATTGTTTTGTAGTTTGCAGAAAGTTCTAGGCCTCAGTTGTGCAATATATATATATAAGCGACCAAGTTAGTGCAAGTAAGTTAGTGTAAATGAAGTTAGACTACATGTGAGTTTAGTTTTAATGTAAAAAAATCTGGCCTTATTAAAAACCTGACAAAAAAGCAAATATATATATTTTATCTAGTGTATCAAAGATATATATATATATATATATATAAATACCCTAACAAATGAAAGAAAGGATGTATGGGGCTGACATTAATTCACCAAGTCACAAACATTTCAGGATGTAGTGAAACACAAGCTAATGAGTATTTAATGTTAAGCTTCCATGGAGGTTTAGACCAACTGTCAAAGAAAATGTAGATTCTTACCTATTTTCAATGGAATTCATGAACAGATTAACAAACCATGTCAAGGAGTACTGGTACATTGGATCTACATTTGGAAGGTCTGTTGTTGAGAAAAATAAAGTGGAAGAGTGTTTGGCAATTAGTCGATACTCTAACCTGGATGTCTCAATCTTTTTCTCTGTCTCTTCTGCTATCTAAGTGCAAGGAAAAGTTTGGTTGAATATTCAAGAAACTTTAAACACAGGAATTGATCAACAAGTTAATTTATCAAATTATCCGAATTTAAAGTTCTTCAAGGATAAATAAAATTAGTTTAATTTCTATACAAGACCTCATAAGCACAGCAATTAAATTCAGTGTCAAAAGTAAAAAAAACTTAACAAAGTTGGTGGAATTTTAATGCTTGTCTGTGGGAACATTCCACATACAAGTGGCTACAAATTAAACCAATGTAGGTTAACAGAATTGCTTCTTATTTCTTTGTGTGACCATTATGAATATATGCTACAATTGGTAGAAACCACATATCCATATTAGTTTAATTTCTTCATATTTGCAAGATTCAGTGTATTATATTAGAATGATTTTGAATATGCAAATAAGCAAATCATATGACAACTACAGCTGATATAAAGTTCTGGTGAAAAAGTGTGTATCATAACTACATTTTGACAATGCTTGGAATTTCATAGGTAGTGTGATGCCACTAAAAATTCATTACTTTTGGGATAGGTAGTTAACAGCATATGCCAACACAAAATGTTCATAAACACAGATTATAAAGAAATATTCAAATTGGGGATTAAAAGATGGGGATATTCTTTGTACGTAATATCATTGGAAAATAAAATAGAAATTATGGATCAACTTCAGACACCAGGACCATCCAAAAATAGACCTGTAGCAAGTTGTACCCCAGCCATGGTAAGAAAAATAAAGTGTGGCATCATGTAACAGGTAAGAATCCAAGAACACAACACAAAGGTCAGTGGCAAAATGTTTCCACGTGTACTAGGCAACAACACACAATATAATCAAGAAGCATCTACACCTGGAAGAGAGGCCATCAGGGTATGGGTTCACCAAGATATGGCTTCAAGTCAAGTCAGGTCACCTGTGTATTCCTCTGCAATTGAACTGTTAAATGGATGCTGGGAAACTGTCACCCTTTTTTTCACAAGATTGATTATGGAAAACCAGCAGAGAGGAGTGATAGGCTTTGGAAATGAAAGTATTAGAATATTAGCCTTTTGCAAGGAAAGCTACATTGATGGATTATTGTCAAGATGTAAAGTTGTCAGAAAGAGTTTGTTTCTTTGTTATTAAGCACAAAGCCTTATTCCAATACTAGCCACATGACACTACATAGTGAATTTAATTCCTTCATCATTATCATTCATACAGTTTAAAAACTCCTTAAGGGTTTCAGTGCTGTGTTTCCACATCACAAAAGTGTCATCATATATATTCTATAGGTTTTATTAAAGCTTTTTGTAACTTGATACAATGCCTTGTAAAAGTATTCACCCCCCCCCTACCAATAATGTCACATTTTGATGAAATAGAAATAGTTATGTTTGAAGGAGGTTGAATTTCAGCAAAACCTGCAAAGAAAATATTTAAATTGAAATTTGCTGATTGCATAAGTATTCAGCCCCCTAAGTCAGTACTTAGTGGAAGCACCTTTGGCAGCAATTACAGTTATTTTGGATAGGTCTCTACCAGCATTGAACAATGTGTGGTATAAATTTTGCCAATTCTTCATGGTACAATTCTTCCAATTCTGACAAGTTCATTGGGGATCGTTGATGGACTGCAATCTTCAAGTCTTGCCACAAATTTTCTATTGGATTCAAGTCAGGACTTTGACTGGGCCACTCCAGAACATTCACTTTCTTCTTTTGAAATCACTCCAGTTTTGTCTTTGCCCATATGCTTCTGGTCATTGTCTTGCTGAAATGTGAATTTTTGACCCAGTTTTAGATTCTTGGCTGACTCAAGCAGGTTTTCCTCTAGGATTTGACTGTAATTTAAACCATCCATCTTCCCCTCAATCCTGACTAGCTTCCCAATCCTTGCTGGTGAGAAGCATCTCCATAACATGATGCTGCCACCACCATGCTTTGACAGTTGGGATGGTGTTGACTAGGTGATGTGCCATGTTGGGCTTGCACCAGATGTAATGCTTTGAATTTAGACCAAAAACTCAATTTTTGTCTCGTTTGACCACAAAATCTTCTGCCACATGTCTAATATCATTTACATGCTTTGTCACAAACTCCATATGAGATTTAAGATAATCCTTTTTCAGTAATGGCTTCTTTTTTATCACTCACCCATACCGGATTGAATACTTATGCAACAGAGAATATTCTAATTTTCTTTGAAAATCTAACTTACTTGCATAATATAAGTGTCTTTTTAGCATTCTAAGTTTGAAGTGGATTGTGTAAATTTTAAATATAAAGTCTCATTAAAGTTTCATGATTGCCAGCTCAGATGCAACAAAATGTGGAAACTTTGCAGGGGAGTGAATACTTTTGCAAGGCATTGTATATTCAAAAGCACCTATAAATATATAACTCAAACCAGGAGGTAAAGAGGACCCAATTGTCAGACGTTTAACTTGTTGAAAAAATTATTGTTAATTTTAAATATGCAATCTAAAAAAAATGGTAAGATTCACTGATTCTTTGATATATTCTAAAGGTATGTCTTTGATATTAAGTACTCTTGATGGTAGTTATTTTTGCAATGTGTTTTATCACTTTGGTGTGTTCTTTTAGATTACTTGGTTAAAATAATGCAAAGTCTGGTCCACATGATGATAAAAAATTAGTTTATTTCTTTTTAGTTCTTATGATATTTCTACAGCCACTTTCACTTGCAAGTTGTAGGCCTAAAAACAAACTACATTTCAACATTAACTCCAGAACTAAATGTAGGCCTAGCCTCTTAAGCTGGATGAATATCATGAGATATTATTGGATATATGGCCAAAAATATCATTAACAAGGAAGTTACCCCACTGATAAAACAATGCATTCTTTATAAGTAAGAAGATTAAGTACTCTCATTACCAAGTTAGGTTTTAGTTTTGCTCTAAGTAAGTAACTTGCTCTGATTCAAAAGTAATATTATTGGTACCTTTTGTTTGCGAGACACTTCATCAGCTAAAAGTTTTGATGAATCCAAAACATGGATAGCAGTCTCATCTTCTAAGATGTTACCTTCAGATGATGAGAGAGTGTGTAAAATTTTATCTTCCAGTTCTTTTAATTCTTTTGTATTGGCAGCTGTCTGAAGGATTAGAGCTTGCCTTTCTTCCTCAAGGTCAGGTCTATAAAATATTTTTCATTGTGTCTTTTAACGTTTACATGGATGAGTTTTTCTGACAAAAGTAAAATCACTTTCAATATGTTTGTATAAGTATACACAATAAAACTAAATATTTTCAAGTAAAATATCTACAGATATAGAAAAATATAAAATAATTGGAAAGTGAGTGAGGGAAGAAAAAAACATTTTATTAAAAACAAATATGTGTTCCAGTTCTTATTAGTGATTGACCATTGAGAGGATTGCATACTTCATATTCATGAAAAATATTCTTACACCCAACTGAGTTAATGTTTCAAATACATCACTTTAGTTTGTTTACTTTAATGCTTGGTTTTCCTCTTGGTAAACCAAGCATACAAGTCAAAGGACTGAAGATGTTGTTTAACATGAGAGAAGATTGTGCTAAATATATTAGATTAATAAAATAAATGATGATACTGACATTAAAATATACTTAGTTATCATCAAATATATACCTCAAAAACTACTTTCAATAAAAATTCCTAATGATACTACAGAAAACTAAAAAAAAAGCTTTTGATATTCTAAAAAAATATTGAAAAAATGATTCTGAGTATTTCAAACCTAAAACTTTTATATAATAACATAACATCAAAGAACAACAAGGTATATCTTGGCCCATCTAGGCCATCCTATTTACTAAATTAAAAAGTCAATCCTTATCATATAAATATCTATCCAGCTTTTCCTTAAATTAATTACATCTATTGCATCTGAAAGCAACATAATCCAAAGGCTAACAACCCTGTTAAAAAGATAAAGCTATCTTAGCAGAAGCTTACCCCCAACCTGCCAAAATTTATGTCTTCTAGTCTTACCATTTTCACTATAAATATTAAAAAAGATGAATTATCATTATTAATTCCCTTAACAATCTTAAATACTTAGATCAGATCCACCCCCCCTAACCCTGCCAAAGTTATAATTTTCCTATGCTGAAAATGTATTTCCGATAGGTACTTTCCTCTTGTCACAAGATTAGCTATTCTTGTTTATTGCTGCCCTCTATATGCAAACCTTTTTATTACACATGCCACAAATGATTCAAACTTGTCTCTCATGCAAATCATCATGTATCACCAATCCACCAATAGGAGCATAGTACACTCATGTGATGCATGTGACTCCTTCTATGTGCCTCTATCAAAGTATCACATTGAAGTTTGGCAAATGATGGAAGCACAAGAAGTGAGTGGGGAGGAAGGGAGGGAAGTACCTATCAGAAATACATTTTCAGTATAGGAAAATTATAACTTCCAATATGGTACTTCCTACCACTCAAAAAATTAGCTAGAATCCCATATTGATTAGGAGGAGGGACCAGTGCAAGGGAAAAACAGACATACCTCCTGAAAGTGATCGAAGGATACCTCTGTAGATGTGAAAGTCAGATCTGAAGAGGAGAACCACACCACTTCTGATACAAGTATACTCTTTGCCCAGTTGAAGAATATGTAAAAAATATGTCGATGGCGAACAAGTCAGGCCATCGACACCCACAGGCCAGAAGGAGGAAATACATCATCAGGGGAGGGGGGACAAAGAACACGAGGATATAGGTTCGAACAGACGTAAAGTAAAGGAATGGAGGACCACATTAATATCCCAATCCGGAAGGGCAGGTCGCCAAGGAGATTGACGAATCTGGGAAAAACGGGTTAACATGGTAAGGATGGGTGAGAAAAAATCCTGCAGTAAAAGCAAAAGGTAATGGTTAAAGCTGCCCAATAACCTGAAATCGAGGAGACCAAAGATCCCAGTCAAAAAGCTACGCAAGAAACTCAGAGACACCAGCAACAGTAGGGCGAGCAGCTAGAAATTCCCAAGCATGAAAGACTTTACATTTTTGCTGATACACTTTCATGGAGGAAGGACAGATGGATTGGGCCAAATGAGAAGCTACACGATGGGAGAAACCAGATCTCCTCGCCAAGAACCAGACAAAAGCCAGGTGTGGAAACAGAGGACATGAAGTGTGGGATGTAGAACTGGTGACTGGGGTTGATGAAGGAGGTCGGGTATTAAGGGAAGTGGTAATGGAGGGAATAATTTTAGGTGGAATAAACAATAGGGAGTGATCAGAAGGGCCCAGTACAAAGTGGTATAGATCAGAGAAACTACCCGATGAAGTAATCAGATAGGAGAATAAACAAATAGGAATTTGTGTGCCCAATCCTGGCTGATGGCATCTATAGCCAAAGCCAGAGGATGAGGAACTATGGACCAAAATTGAGGTAACTGGTGACTGAGGACAGTGGCAAAAGCATCGATGTGAGAAACACCCATACACTGCAAAGTCACCATCAGGTAAACCTTGTCAGGACCTTAAAAATGATCCACCATGAGGTTGAAATCACAGGGACATGACACACAATTAGGTGAATGTGTTGCATGACAGCCCAATATAGGAGATCCAACATGCAAAAACAGAGAGATCTCAACTGGGTGCTGCCTTGGTGATTGATTTAACCCAGCACCATGGAATTATTGGGATGGATTATTACCAGACAATGTTTGGCAATGGGAAGAAAGTGATCTAAAGCCTTACGAATGGCTAGGAGCTCTAAGACATTGAAATTTAAAGCTTTTCTGTCTAGAGACCAATGACCCAAAGCCTCCTGGTGATTGACCCATGCACCTCAGCCCTGAAAGGATGCATCCATAAATAGGTGTAAGCCCTGACAAGGAGGAAGAAGTGGGACACCAGCCGATGTGTGAGTCTTGTCCAACCACCAAAGGAGATTGTCTACAAGGGAAGGTCATGGGAGCATCCAAGGGGTCCCAAGTAAGGTTTCATTGGCCATTCAGAGTCCACTAAAGGCAGCACATGTGTGCATGGTTGAGGGGGATTAGTGGTGTCATAGAAGCCCACATTCCCCAAAGCAACAGAACCTCATGTGCAGGAAGGGAGCAGACAGGGCATGGCAAACTGACAATTCCATAAAATGGAGACTGAGAGGAGAAGTTTGGGCCAAACTGAGGTGAGTGTTTAAAAAGACACCCAAATTACAAGGAATTGGGTAAGACTTAGGAAGGATTTCTCCAATTTGATCAACCAGCTTACTAGAGAACTTTCAAGAAGGAGCTGACGAGTATGACAAGCTGATTCCTATTCGAAATTGGCCAGAAGTAGCCAGTTGTCTGTGTAAAAATTGAAATGTAGCCCTAAGATGAAAATGAAGAGAAAAAGCTTGTACCACCTGACAAAACATGTAAGGAACCAAAGCCATCTGAAGGATATGGTGCAAAATTGGTATACCACCTCTCGATGGACGAACCATAGATAAGGGCAAGACTGTTTCAAGATGGAAATATGCAGATAGGCATTGGGGACGTTCATCTTGGTCATCATAGACCTGGAGAAAAAGTCCATTGAAAATTGATGTAGGAATCCATGGTGAAACATAGGAGGTGAACAAAGCAATTGAGGCAGGACAGATCGATGACAGGCCTCTAGTCCCCAGTCTTTTTGGGAACAATAAAAAGATTGGAGTAAAACCCCAGTGAATGATGTGGAACAGGTTATATAGCCTGTTGGGTGAGGAGGCCCTGTACCACCTCTGATAGATGCCGGCAAATTACTGGATCTCGAGAAGTAGGGAAAGAAACAGGTACCTAGGACAAGAGAGGTGAGGCAAGAAACAGAATTTAGAATTCTTCTGACAAAACCTGAAGAACCCAAACATCCGAGATGAAAGGGCACCATCAATGAATGAAGGCCACAAGGCAAGCTCCCACTGGGTCTCAACCCACCAGGTAGTCACCAGAACTGTTGGCAGTGTATCATGTGTCATCAAGAAAAATGGTGAGCCATGGCACCATGGGAAGGAGGGACAGGTAAGGGGAAGGATGGGAAATTGAAATAGGTACCACACTTGGCTCTGATTGAGGTAAACGGGAAACTTGATAGGTATTAGTAGAGTGTTGCTGGGCAGATACCACCTGAGATTCCAAGGATTCTGAGATCATATTGTAGACAAAAGGAAAGTCTTAAAACAGAGCCATATGCAAATCCCAGAGATAAGAAGCAGGTAAACAGGTTCGATATAAAACAGCATCACGACCTAAGAGGTCCCAACAACAAAGATACCACATTTGTAAAGCCAGAGCCATAGATGATAAACGAGCCAATGATGAGATAGTGAGGGAGAGGGTATCTCCAGAAAACCCCATCATGATTTCTGTGAAGAGCCTTAGACAGGAGATGAATCATGGAAAGGTACCGCAAAAAATGTCGTGAGGGTAAGACAGAGGTGGGAAAATTGGACATGGGTGATGCTAATGAGAGATTCAGGGCCCGCCTCCCAAATGGGCAAAACAGAATGCAACAGATGTTGCTTGAGATATGGACAGTCTGCCCTATGAAATGCGAGGGATGACTGATCTGAAGCCTGTGGGGGACAAGGCATACTAATACCATCGCCCAACTGAGAGGCTAATTGGTAAGTATGAACCTGAATGCCAGGGGATTCGGGAAACACCAAATACGATTGGGAAGTATGTTCATGCAATAACAAAGGATATAGATCATAAGACATATGAGCAAGGGATAAAACATCACATAACCAAGAAATAAAGTCCAAAAAACCATGGGCAACTGAAGAGAATCGTCAGAGAGGGAATGGAAAGGCACAGCAAAATCAGAAGGTGGGAACAGGTGATCAAAGTCCTCGTCAACCTGGCCAGGTTCCACAGTATCAGGAGGAAGAGGGGTAATGTTTGGAGATAAAGGTTGACTCATATAACATACAATCTCTCTGCAAATAAACACAGACAAATCTCCCATCGAGTCGCCAGCACCTGAAGCCTGTGGTATAGCACATGTCGATTGACCCCCAAAGTGGTGACATTAACTTCGAAGTTCATTGTGATGTAGTCAACAAAAGCATTTGAAGTAAATAAGGATAAGTGAATTGAAATAACGTCAAAAACTGAGTATTTTAAATTAAATTAAACCACTTCGAGAAATACAATCTCAAACATGAAACCACATGAAAAAAGAAAGATGTCTGAGTGCAAGCACTGCCAAACAAGAAGTGATAGTTTGTTAGAGGCATATACAGGGAGTCACATGCATCACGTGAGTGTACCATGCTCCAATTGGTGGATAGGTGATGAATGATGATTTGCATGAGAGACACATTGGAATCATTTGATTCCAATAGGGGGATGCAGAAGGCTTGTGGCATGAGTATTAAAAAGTCCCCTGTAACTTGTTATTTTTTCAAGAGAAAACAAGTTCAGAAATATTAACCTATCCTCATATGACAACCTTTCCATCCCAGGTATCATCCTAGTAGTCCTCCTCTGAACCATTTCCAACACTTGTATGTCCTTCCTAAGGTAAGGAGCCTAAGACTGAACACAGTACTCCAAATGTGGCCTAGCCAACGGCCTATAATGACATTATAACCTATTTAGACTTGTATTCAATATTTCTGTAGATACAACCTAAAATTCTATTTTTCCTGCCACTAACAACAGCAAACTGCTTGGTTGGCTTAAGAGGCTAATCGATCAGAACTCCAAGACCCTTTTCTTTCTTAATACTATTAAGGTTACTCCCACCAAAATTATGCTCATAATTCAATGATACACCTCATGCATTACCTTGCATTTATCTGCCATTTATTTGACCAAGTCACCAAATAATCCAAATCCTTTTTTAACGCAGTAGCACCCTCCTCATAGCTAGCAACATCTAAAACATTGACTATTATATTTTTAAATACTAAATTCTTTATCTAGTGTCTTAGCAATTTTCAAGAATTTGAATAATTACAATAACATTTTGTTCTCTAGAATCAATAAAATGTAACTTAAAAAAGAAGCACTACGGAGTAATCATAATAAAGTATTGTACATATTTCATATGGCAAAAAAATGTTATCTGGTAAAATAGTACACTTCTAGAAACACAGAAAGAAAACACAGTAACTATTTGCAACATCAAGAAAGAGTCTTTAATTGAATGTTGTTATAAAGAATCCACAGTAGATCAGCTAATCACTAATGATATGTTGATCTTAGACAATATGGATTTACTATTATCTACCTTTCTTGAGCAACAACAATACTTAGTAGTTGATCTTCCAGACCCTCAGGAGTGATCATGAAATTAAGGAGTGATACCTTTGTTGCAAGTTCAGGAAGGTAATGGGGATTTCTTAACTTGGTAGTGATATACAATTTAAAGTCTTGGTTGAACTCTACAGTTGCATCACCTAGCTTTATCATCTCAACACCACCTATTAGAAATAATTTTATATTTCTAGTTGATGTTGTATAAATAACACCCATTATAATTAGCAACTTAATGCCAAAAAAACTTATGAGATACCTAGTAGAATAACATGAGTACAATCTATTAGAAACAATTTCCTTAATCTCTATCAGCTATCAAAGCCAATGCTCTAACGATTGAGCTACACAGGAGTACAAGCAGTTTCCATCAATGTTCACTTATAAAACTTCCCACCATGAGTATAATCACCATATTATGTTATGATAACTACAAAGACGAAATCACAGAAATCTATCACAGACTTACAAGTATTTATTAAATTTCAAAAGAAAAGCATATTAATATTGTAATAATCAATAATAGATATTTTTTATATAAGAAAAACAACAACTCATAATTGAAAAGAGACTGCTTGACTAAGACTTGAATATGGGACCACTGGCTAATTAGGCCAATCATTTAGTTACACAGAAGTACAAGTGTTCTCCATCAATGTTCCCTTATAAAAATTTGTTATGATATAACAATATTACTATGATTTCCTTTTACAATTGAATAAATAATTGTGAGTCTTCTGTGATTTGGTCTTTGTACATGTCATAATGTAGCATGATTATCACACTCACTCATGGTGGGAAGCTTTATAAATGAATGTTGATGAGGACTGCTTATACTCTGGAATAGCTCAGTGATTGTAGCACAGGCCTTATTATCCAGAGGTTCTGAGTTCAAGTCTCAAGTTCAATATTCTTTGTACTTAAAAAATATCTATTATTAACTGTTACAATATAGAAATATTACTATGGCTTCCTCAGATAATCTTTATTAGAAGATACATTGGTAACATACATAATTACCAAGATACTTAGAAACATATAAATTTATAAAGATACCAACATAATAGTCTTTTAAATGATACATTCTAAAATAAAACTAAACAGTTGTAAAAACTTCTTTAATGCACATATAATTAGTACAAAAGTGAATTTTATCAGCACTGGTATACTTAGAAACATACTAGCCTTGTTTAAAAGTCTGTTTCAACAAGACTGATTCTAAAGATGGGTCCAACTCTTCTTCTATGTTCTCCAACAGCACTGGTTGACCAAATTGCAGGCAGTTCTCAAGATTACGTAGAAAATCATTGTCTTCAAGCTTAATAACAATTAGTCCATTTTCTTTTTCCATATTCTTGACCCATTTATTGGCTTGACCTTGAGGGTCAATCATTAATGGCCTTTCACCAAATAAAAAAATACTATATTATGTAAAGAAATTACATCAAACAAAAATGAACTAAATATTCAGTCATCAACTGTATGTTGCAGTGAGATATTGATACAATGAAGTTCAACTTCACCAAATTAATTTTAAAAGTATGTCACCAAATCTGTTACCACAAAAAACTAACAAAAATAAATTCTATAATATCAAATTAGCTCTAAGAGTCTGTAATCAAGTACATTACAACAGGAAATAAATACCCTTCACAGAATTTCTACTACACCAAATTAACTCTAGAGTCTGTCACAACATAAAACATTGACATTTTCCTAATCTGAAAATGTATTCCACAGACAGTTCAGTCATCTTCCTTGTGCATCTGTCTAAAAGATTTGCATGTCGCTAGCCTTAAGGCAACTCCCAACTAATTTCACATTTTGATATAAACAGTGTTGGTGCATGGTGACGTCATCATGCAACAAAAGCCCCCCACCAAAGGAAGGCGACACAACCTCTAGGTGCAGTAACTCCCCCCTATTCACTTGCACTTGTGGTAGCTTTATTCTTTGATGAGGACAAATGGGAATGTGTGAAGAAGAGAGTATCAATCAGAAATACATTTTCAGGTCAGGATAATGTTCAATTCCAAAAAAATATCTCACCTCCCCCACACAGTTCAGCTAAAATTCCACATTGAATTCGTGGAGTAGCTGGAGCAAAATTTAGCCTAGATGAGCTCCCTTTAGAATAAACTTGGAGGGAAGCCCATGGAGTTTGACACCTGATGGCAAGGTCTCCCTAAGAGCACACCTGTGAGAGACTGCATTTTGTTTTGACCAGGGTATACTTCACTTAGAATGAAAGTGAAGAAGAGACAAATGAGCTCCATGTGTAGCAGGAATGGATAGAATGAAAAAATGACATCAGAGCACTTGCACACAAGCAGTCAGTGAACCAATATGTGTAGTGTGATTGGGGCATGTTTAGACCATATCTTGCATGGTCACTTTAACTCTACTGAACAGACTCTACAGTACAAACTCCAGCTGCAGAATGAAGGAACGTTAGTTATGCAATATGGTTTTGTGTAGTGTGTGTTCACCTCATTCTGTTGAACAGACTCTGGCTGTATGAAGTGGGCACATCAGTTTTGTATTATAGTGTATACTCACCTCAACTTTACTGAACAAACTGGATGCATGAGGAGGGCACATTAGTTTTGGATCATGTTTTTTGTACACTGTATGCTCACCTCGACTCAGCTGAACAGTCTCAGAATGCAGGAGGTGGGCACAAAAGGTATGAGGTATGGATTAGAGGGGTGACAGTGTTACCATTGCTTCACTTCTCACTGTATTACGCTAAGTCCAACCTGTGAGAATTCTTCATGGTCTATTACCCCAGCAGCTAGGAACTGGTAAGTAGCAAGAGTCTCTGATGCTCCACTTAATGAAGGAGAGGGGGGATAATTCACATTGGGCAGATCCAGAGAAGTGCCTGGATCCCTCATTGGACACAGTGCAATGGATGGCCATAAAATCCTATCTTTAAAAGCCAGTAAGAGTAATCCAAAGAAGTGAGCAGAATACTTTCTAAGTGCTAGTTTTCCCATTATATTTCATGGAATAAGTCTGGATCAAGCAATTTAATAAATATGCATACCACGAGGATATTTCAAGGCCATGCAGAACACCCCCCATTATTTAGTGGGCACTGCTAAAGTCAGGGTGGATGGTATGAGCGATTTCCATTATCTTGGCCCTATGTGGATTTTGGGTACATAAACTCTGGAAGGCAACTCCAGCTACCTAGTGGGATACTATGAAATTAAAAAGGTCTCTGAAAAAGAAATAGTATGTATTCTTCTCAAAGACAGGGGGTGATTGAAGAATGGTGATCAGTGGAATCCAAAACCCATCAGGAGATAAAACATACAGATGATATAAAGAAGGAAATGAATGTATGGAGAGTCATCTACATGTCTGTCTGGAGGATCTTGACCTAGGGTTGGTGAAGAAGAGAATGAGAAAGGTGATGAATCAAATGCAAATAAATGTGAACTAGTCTGCAAACATTTACATCCAGATACAAACATACCAATTGAAGGAATTGACGGACCCATGAAATAAGGGTAGAAGCAAAGAGGTCCTAGGATAAAGAGGAATCCCAGAGTAACAGACGACATTGAGGAACCTGAAAGGGAGAGATACATGATAAGGCACACCAAACAGCTCAAACAGGACACATGAGCTTATCTGGGTCTGAACAGTCAAATAGGTGAGAGACATAAGGAAAGAGAGAGAAGTGTGGCTACCATCCTGAGTGGTCAAAGTCACAGAAAGGAGAGATCAGTTTGGGGAAAGGAGTATAAAAGTGTGGTGGTAGAGGGTGTGAGAAGCATCAATATCATAGATATCCAAAGGATGGTAATCACAGGTGAGAAGGAGGAGGAAACAAGTGAGAAGAGAAAGACACTACAAGAAGCAAAAGGTCAACAACTCAAATGGGGCACTCATGAGATCGTGCAAAACCTCAATAATGTCTCAATCAGGCAGGGAGGATGGAGGAAAACAAAGGAGTACAACACAATGGAGGGGACAGGGAAGGAGATACATTGTGATATCGGGAAAGGCAAAATGTTACGAACATGGCTGCCTGACAACTAGTAAAGGCAGAGACCAACCAAACCATGGACAAACTACCAGGTAAAAAAATAGACAGAAAGGTGTTTCACAGTATGACAGACGAACTAATGACAAAAGACCTGCCAATGTCAATGATAGTCAAAAACAGTGGTAGGCCAACAGCAATGGGACAAAAATAATGCCACGCAATTGGAAAGTCCTGCCTGATGGGTGACTGATCAGATAAATCCCATGCATTAGGATGGAGGGAAAATATCCTTCAATGAAGAAGGGACTCATGAAGGGGAAGCAAGAGAAGGGAATCTGAAAGTGAAGTGGATCAAAGCTGACCTGGTCAATAGGACCCAATAAGGAGAGTAGTATGAAAAGTGAAGGGCCCAAGAGAAGAGAGGATTGGGGGAATAAGCATATAGAAAGAGATGAGTCCTGGACTAGTTAAGAATATTAACAGCTAGAGCCAAAAGATGAGGAATAGAAGACCAGAATAGAGACAAATTAGAGGTGAAAAGGTTGGCAAATGCATCCATGAGGGACATGTTTAACTAACAACAAACCCCATAAAAGTCCTGGGGGTGTATAGAACACTCTTTTGGTAAAATGTGAACTGGCCAAGAGAGGCAGCCCTCCATCGAGTTCTTAGCTCCTGGAATATGAATGGCAATAAGATAAACCCAATGTGAATGGGCCCAGAAGTGTGTCTTAACACCTAAAAGTATAGGGTCCTTGAATAGGTGCCTCTTGGATGGTTGATGCAGGAAATAACTGAGGAATTGACAGAGTGGAACATGATCAAATGATCCACCTTTAGTGGCAGGAATGGAAGCATGCCAGACAAATAGCAATAAGATCAAACACACTGATGTGAAGTGAATGCTTTTCCAGCATAAAAACTTCAGAAATCCTGCCCTTATCCAGACAGGTACCTCAATTACAGGGAAGCATAAACAAAGGGAAAGATCAGGCCTGAGAAGTAGTAAGGGAATGTCAGAAGTAGCATGAGCGTGGTCCAATCATCATGACAATTCCTTAAGGAATGGAAAGGTTCACAAATGAGGACAAGAGACCTCAAGACAGAAACCTTTGGGTCCACAAGGTCCACTGGAGGAGACATGAGTACATGCTTCAAAAGAATGAAGGGTTCCAGGGAAATCAGCGTGCCCAAAAGAAAAAAAAACCTCTAATGTAGGAAGAGAATGAAAAACATAAAACCTGGTGACCAGATACACCATAATTCGTAGGCAAAGAGGAGAATAGCTGAACTCAGATGAGACAAGAGATGAAGAAATGCCAAAAAGTACCAAACATTGAGTTAACTGATTGGTTTTGGGGGTTTCTTGGTGCAAAGCAGTGTCGAAATCTACACCAAATAACCAGTATAAAAATAAAAACAAAAAGTAAAACTCTGTAAACAGTAAAAAAGAAATGAAGTTAAAAGCTAAACACAATGTCCAAAGATCAGGTAAAAAAACTCAAGTAGATTTAAAAAGGCCAATGGCCCTTAAAAAATATAAACAAAATCTAGGTGGACAGTGTCACCATCACCAAGGACACTGTCCAACTTCAGAGGTGAACCCCTTAGAAAAGACATTCTAAAATGGTGCTGCTGCTCACATCCATAATGATGACACAAAAGTAAAAATTTTGTGTGACAAAGGCCACACATTGGTGGATCAGTCCCACATAAAAGAAAATGATGAGTTAAAAAACTGTGACCAATGCATAGCCTAGCCAAGACAACTTCCTCCAGCCAATCCTTAGAGAACCTAGATGGCCAAACAACAACTGTAGGTTTGATCTGGAAAAGTTGTTATGAAGTTGCTCACCACAAATCGAATGCCAACTCACGAAAAGCTGTGCCTTGATCACAAGTCCAAAGTCCATATATGGGACAGACATGGCTATGACAGCATAAGACCAGACGGGCTTTGCTGTGGTGTCTGCGAGCTTGTTCTAGGTTTCCAGAAAAACTGGATAGAAACAGATGACAGAGAAAAATGGGCCAGTTGCTTCTGAATATCCAAAAGAACAAGGTGAGAACTTGTATTAAGTGATTCCAGGGCCAGTAGAAAGCTAAGAGAGTCGGTGTAAGTAGTATATTTAGTGTACTGCCTAGCTTCTATGTGATCCAAGGTAAGAGAAATGGCATACAACTCGGAAGTGACCAAAGAAGCTGTAGAGGGGATTCTGTGAGCAATCAATGAGCCACAGCAGAGTCCACAGAGTCATGTTATTTCGAATCATCCATAAAAACGTAAACAGGTGAATCGTTCGAAAGATTTTCGGCAAAGAGAAGACGGCACTTTCACCTTCCTCAGTTGACTCATAGAAAGGTCACAGGTGGGAATGGTAAAGAGCCATTGCAGGATGGATTGATCATCAAACTCTGCAACATCATCCAATGATAGATTCAATTCAGCCAGCTGCACCTGTATATGCAGGGCAAAAGGAGGAATGGTAGACCACAAATTCTGCAAGAGCACAGCCATTCAAGGAAGGAAGACACAACCACAGGTGGAATGCTGTGGTAAGGATCGAAGCTTGGTAGCATATTGCAAATGTCAGAGGTGAAAAGGAGGTTCATTGGACTCAGTATACAGACTATGTACTGGTGAATTGCAGAAAGCACCCAGACAGAGCCAAAGCTCTAGATGGTGTACAGAGTTTAACATCTTCAAGGCAGAAGGCCTGGCAGAACCATAGACCAGAGACCCATAGTTCAGCTTGGATCATATGAAGGCGTTTTAGATCTTGAGCATGGAACATCTATCCGCTCCTCAAGAGATGGAAGAGCAGACACAGAGGTTGTTCAGTGCCCTTGTACACTTGACACGAAACTGCTTAATGTAAGAAATGAAAGTAAGCTTATAGTCAAAGATAAGCCCCAAGAACTTTGTCTCAGGAACCACAAGAAGAACAACACCACTGGAACTGAGCTCAAGATCAGAGTGTAAATCCCACTGTTGGCAAAAAATAATGCAAGAAGAGAGGGTAAAACCATTTGCTGTGGTTTACCCCAACAAGTGAGTGAGAGCAGTCTGAAGCTGCCTCTCAATGAGCCTCATGTTTGATGACTGACAAGAAATGTGGAAGTCATCAATATAAAGGATGTTTGCAACAGTAGGAGGTAGTTGTTTAGTGATAGCATTGATTTTGATACTGTGACACTCAAGACACAACCCTGTGTGAAAAAACGGAACAGGGTCGAACCCACATGGACTTAGAATCGTCTTTCAAGTAGAAAGTTACGAATAAAAATGGGCTAATGGCCATGCAACTCATAGGAGTGGAGGTCCTGCAAAGTACCAAACCTCCATGTAGTGTCATAAGCCTTCTCAAGATCAAAGAAGACAGAAACAAGATGCTCTCTCTTAAAGAAGTTTTCACTGATCAAGGTTTCAAGAAGAATCAGGTGGTCCATGGTGGAATGCTGTTGACAAAAACCACATTGGGTGTGCAATAGGTGGTTGTTTAATTCAATGAATCAAATAAGACATGCATTAACCATCTTCTCCAAGACCTTACAGAGAGCGAGTCTAAGCAATTGGACAATAATAGAAGGAATTTTGGGATTCTTCCCAGGCTTTAAAAAAGGAAGAACAATAGCTTTGTGCCAATTATCAGAAAACACAGGCTGCCAAATCTGGTTAAGACAACCAGAAGAAGAGCAAGAGAGGCAGGAGAGAGATGGCACAGCATCTCATAGTGAACGTCATCAGGTCTGACTGATGTACTGCCAGACCAATGAAGAGCAAGCTTAAGTTGCACTAGTGTAAATGGGTGATTATAATCATAGTGGTGATCTGCTCAAAAGGAAAGGGGCAATCTCCTAGCCTGAGACTTGATGACTACTAAGGCAGGAGAAGTGACAGAATGCTAGAAAAATGGGAAAAGCACTTCTCAAGAGTATTGGTGATGTTCTATACATTAGCAATTTCTTGGCCATTGGAGAGGAAGATAGAAAGGGGATGAGAAGCATATTTCTCACTGACCCTCTGAATCTTGTCCCAGACGAATTTGGAACTGGTGGTAGAAGAGGTGCTGGTGGTGACCTTAATCCAGGATTCCTTTTGGCTTTGACGTCTGACCAGCTGAGCATGGGCACGGGCTAGCTGGAAAGCAACATGGTTGGAAAGAGTGGGATACCTACAAAAGATATCCCAGGCCCATTTCTGAGCCTTCTGTGACTGCTGGCAGGCAAGAGACCACCATGGATGAGGATACCATGGGAAATGTGTTGAGGTTTTGAGGATAGATTGAAGAGCAGTTACTGCCTTCATGCAGTCATTAATACATGGAAGATTAACGACAGCAGGATCAAGTTCCAAGTGAATGGTGAAGGAAAGCCAATCAGCCTGTTCCAACTTCGACCATGGCACATGGGTCAGATGGAATTGACTGCAGCTAATCTCCCTCAAAATGATTGGAAAATGATCACTTCTCCATAGGTGATTGTCAAACCTTCAACAAAAATGAGAAACAAGTGAAGGTGAACAGATTAACAGCAGTGAAACACTAATTAGGTGCATGAAAATAGGTAAAAGAACCAATATTGAAGAGATAAAGGCTATGATCTGAGAGCATGCATTCCACAGAATGACCCCTTCCATCAATGTCAGTACCACTCCAGAGAGGATTGTGCCCATTAAAGTCTCCCAATATGAAGAAGGAAGAGAGCAACTGTTCAGAGCACCAAAAGCTGATTGATTGTAAGGCTCTCCTGGAGACAGATAAAGAGAATAAAAAGTGAGGGTATGACCCATGGAGATATGGATGGCTCTATATATATATACAGCCTCTAGGGGTGAATTAAGTGGCACAGACAATGTAGGTACATGTTGGTCAACCAGCAGTGCCACACCTCCATCAACTTGACCATCATACAACCTGTCATTCCTGTACAACGAAAAACTGCTAAAAAGTGACAGTATCAGCTGGCTTAAGGAATGTTTCTTGCAAGGAGAGACACACAGGATGATAGGTATTGGTCAAGGCCTCAATGTCATCCAAATAAAAGAGGCCATTTTTATTTAGAAAAAAAGAGAACTGGGCAGAGAACTCTTCTGTTTGTGACCACAACATTTTTCTTTAGTAGAAAGAGGTCTGTCGACCTCCATGGAACCTGCCCTAGAAAGATTGGGCAGATCTATGTCGAAAGAAGGAGATTCCATTGTTGTTTCTCAAATGGTAAGGCTCTATCCGAGCAAATCAGGTAAAATTCAAAGTTCAAACGATCATTCTCAACTAAGGAGAAAGAAAATCAGTCAAAAGGACAAGAGTAGGAGGCCCACTAAACATATGGTAATCCATAACACACTGAACACTGGCTGCAAAGATCCTGAAAGCTAATGAACCTCTAAAAGCCATAGTAGAAATAAGACCTGTGTTTGAACAACATTACTCAGACAAGACTATGTATAAGTCACTTTCATTTTTTCACATTAAAAATTTAAGCTTTTGAAACAAAAGCCAAAAAAAAAAAAAAAAAAATGTTGCAAATATCGGCTCAGATGAGAATTTTAAACTATGTTTGATCACTACAATGTTGAAGAGAAGAATTAAGATACTATGAATGCAAGTGCACATGGAGACTGTGTTTTCCTCCTATTGGTGGAGGGCTTTTTTTTTGTTGTATGATGACATCATCAAGCATCAGCATAGTTTCCTTTAAAACACATGAAATTAGGTTGCAGTTGCTTCAAGGCTGGTGGCATGCAAATCTTTTAGGCAGACACATGAGGAACTATAGCTGATTTAACTTTAGAAATGTGCTATTGTTTTGGAAAAATAAACTACTGTTACAGAAATATTTTATTGCAAAAACTGCAAAACATGAAAAAATATTGTATTTTTTGGAGGTCTATCACAAAAATAAACACAGCTAGTAAATAATAAAATTATAAAAAAAATGTCTCTTGCACTAAGAAAGAAATAATCTATACATATAGTTGTCAGATGTCTGCCTGTCATACACTGTATCTCCTGAATGGTTAACCATAGAAAAAAAATTATATATCAAAATGCTTCTTTTGCAAAAGCAAATTACAGAATAATACATTTTTTTACAATTCTTAAAATTCCATATGAATATCAACACCAATCCATCAGTTTTGATTTGTTCTGAATGGTTATTCCCAGAATAAGGGAATTTCCCTCCAAAAATGGGACTTTCTCTATCAACCGATTGAAAGCAATATTTTGATGATAGGAGCATGAACAGAAACAAATTTATAAAGAGAAGAATGTGTATCAGTATATATATTTGTTGTTGCTCAGTTTTTATATATAGTATATATTTTCATCTTAGAATTATATACATGCATAATTTTATTGTACCATGTTGAATAAATTCATTTGAATTGAATACCTCCCCTTTGATACTTATAAAAATCACAAATGTCAAGAAATGGTGGCATCCAGCCATTAAAATCCCTGCAGCTACTTAGCAAGCTTGAGTGCTCTATTGTTCTGGATGTACCTATTGCATTGCAACCCAAACATTTTTGCTGACAATGAAAATATATTCAATGTTAATTTTTCTTATCATAATAACACATGGAATGACAAAAAAAAGTTTTAAATGACTCACTAGACAATCCTATTGCATATAAACTACGATCCAAGACACTTGGTTGACTGCCAATTTTTTTTATTTATTCATCACTGTTTTAAGGAAATTTACCATTGAATTGTTTTAATGGGTACTGCTAGTGTATTCTATAAAGCAATCACTTCAAATTAAAAATTATTATTTTTTAGCTTATCCATAAGTATTCATATAATTCAAAAAGTACCTTGTAATGACAAACAAAAGCTCATAGGTCTTTTAAAATTCTTACCATCTTCTACTTTTGTCTACAATGACACCATTGTCAATGGAAAAACTGTCCAAAGGAAGTCCTGCAATAGTCCATGACTGTATCTTTACAGGATTTCCTAAAGTCTGACTGACAGAAAAATCAGCTGAACAGGGAATTCCTTTGGCCTGTAAGGGTGAGGAAGAAATATAAAATAAAGCTTGTAATTTATCAAAATAATTTTACTTAGAGAATCTTTATAGTGATGGAAATAAACAATATAGAAATATAAGATGATTAAACAAACTATGAATTAAACCAAAAACAGAGCAGTTACAGTAAAGTTAAATTTACAAACTTTTAATAAATTATTTAGAACAAGAAAAAGCATAAATACAGAACTAGAGGCTACAGATGATACAAATCACATGTTTATTAATTGTCTTCAGTCATTGCTTAAGCCCTTGATGTAAAACTTTCTACCTGTGTGAACTCAGATTGAAGTGGTTAACAGTTTATTTTGGCAAACTTTTTGTTTAAATGGTCAAATAAAAACCACCTTTACTTAATTTAAAGGATGTGTAAGACAGTTCTTAATCAAGTTATGTTATTTTAGTACTTGTTTTTTTATACCTCTTTCTGTGAAAAATAAGATTAAATTGTCCACTTTGCTAGCCAGATTTAGCAACATATTTTCTTCACTTTATGGCTACTATTCTATTCATCTTAGAACTTTCCCAATTAAAACATTTATGTAGCAAACTTTACCACATTCACAGAATTTAAATTATGAAATATTTTTCATCCTTTATTCTTTTTAGAAAAAACAACAAACATCACTTTATATTAAAAAAGAAGTGTTTTTTTCCCTGTTTCCTTTATTATATTTTTTACACACTAAGCAAACACAATTCATTAAAAGATCTAAAAGTATATATATATATATATATATACTCACCAGACAATACTCAACCCAATCTTGAACACAATCATTTCTATAAGAAGCTGTATAAGGTCCCAAATAGGCAATAACTCCAGAAGCCAAAATAACATCTCCCGATAAGTTGTCGTAAACTGTCTTCAATCTTTCAGCTTCAAAAGACCACCTAATGGATAGGAAACATACGTCTTATTATGTTCATCATGTAATGGATAGCATTCTCAGAATAAAATAGTAAACAAAGAAAAATAATACAATCTCAATGGTTTGATATAGCTTTTGTGACACATCATTAATAACCAAGAATATTTTATGTATTTGAATAATATGTAACTATCTGTCACAATTTTTAATAACTGTTTAACAGACAGCTGGAAAATTAACTGTGAATGTTTAATTTTAATGACTAAAATGTGTAACTTCAATGAAGAGAAGAAAAAGGAATCCATGAATAATGTAGAGGTATAATCAATTTTTTGATAAAATACTCCCTTTATAGAAGAATAGTTTGGCCAACTCAATGGCTCATTAGTACTTTTTGAGACAGCAAACCAAAGAAATAAAGGCCTCTTTTATAGTGAGAAAATGCAAAATACTTGAAGGGTTTTATGAAATATCCTTTATCCATCTCTAAAATTCTAAAATGCTTTTGGGTATTTGAATAATGTCACTGTCCTGTAGTTCTTTGGTTTGCTCTCCCAAGCAGTGCACTTATGAGCTATGAATTTGAGGAAACTAGTTTACTTCAGAGTGAGTAGCAAAACAAAGAGTAGATTTGGTCCTCTATGTCATTCACCGATTTTTTCGTTTCTTCACTGAAGTTCCAGATTGTCGTGAGGAAAAAAGTCGCATTGAAGTAACAAAAAAATACAATAACAATACTGATTACACATTTACTCAACAATACTAATGAATAATTGTATGATAAATTGACAAATCATAATTAACAAATTCTAAAACAACAAAATTAACATAAAATATTCGCAAGTGAATATTAGATGTATAATGCTAATTAAATATCAAATATATTTTCATTAAATTGTCATTTTACTGCATAATTGTTGATATCATGGTTGTTACTTTAGTTAGTTCCTTATGATTTAGAAAATGTGAAGAATCATTAAAATAAAACTGTTAATAGTTTTAATTCTTTAACATTTTTGTCACAATAATATTTTCTGGAATTGTTACAAAACCACAATAATGTAAATGTATTTTAGTCCTTCTAATAAATAGGTTCCATTAAAATTTACAATAAAATTTCTTTTCCTCTTTGCTAATTTTCATAAAATTTTAGTTGTAACTTTTACTTTTTATCTTTAAGCAACTATTCAATTGACATTAATAATGTTTATAGTTGCATAGTGGAGTGGTAATGAAGAGTTTTAAGATAAATGTCACTAAAAATGCAAATGCATGCTATGCATATTCCACAACCATTTTTCTAAGGTCCTTATCCTTTTAAGCTCTGCACATTCTTTAGCATGAGTGAAGTCACTGCTGACTCCAACCTTTTTAAATGTGCCTTGGTACTCAATGTTGGTACAATTTAAGTAATTAACTTAATTATTAAGCATTATGCCAGCTGATTAATGCCTGTTCAAAAACAGGCTTCTAAAAAATCCAAAGTACTACACATATTGCTTTTGTTGCTGAAAAGAATGAGTGTATATAATAATGAATTATAACTGTGTGAAAGGGTAGAATGTTTTATGTTATATATTAAAAAACACCTGCTTCATATTACTTAAAAAATCACTATAACCTATCTCGCTCTCCACCAAGACCTCCAATCAGCTTTTGGGCACGGTCCAGTTTTTTAGCACAAAGGTCGACTTGAACCTCTAGTTGCTGTTTGCGTTCTGACATTTCTTTAAACTGTTGTTTTAGTGAAGCTAGTCGATCTTCAATAGCTTTAAGTTCATCTCTTTTAGTCTCCAATAATGCCATTGTTGTCACTAACTGTTCCTCTGCTTCAGCTAACTTTTCTTTTTTAGGAGCTACAAGCTACATAGAAAAAAATACAATATAAAAGTAGTAAATCAATTAAAGCACTTAAACACATTAAGAAATTAAGGGTCATAAATGAGTACATACTGCATGAGAAAAAGATTATTGGATTAAGAAAAACAGTCCTATGACAGATGCATGAAATATATACAAGCATTCAAATCTAGTTCAGAATTTATTTTAAGTTTACTTATTGCAGACTATTGCATAATAACACAAACACTGTACGATGATATCAATAAGCCAAAAAGTTTAGTTTATGGTATTGTTTGACTTGGTAGCATGTATTCAGGTTTATTATTCTATTTTTTGTTCTGTTTCTAAAATTCACTGTTTTTATAATAGGAATTAACACCATTCTTTCTTATTTATTGTTCCTCTTATCATAATAATGCAAATTCCCACATGGATATCATATTATAGAAATTGCTTATCATTTTAACTAGGTTTTTATTACTTCATGTACAGATATTTACTACATTTCTCACTTTTCTTTTGGAAATTAATAAAGAAATATAAAGCATCTAAACAAAAGTCAAAGAGTACTCACCTTGGCAACCCTATCATACAGTTCCATAGCAATAACCCACCTACATAAACCTTCAGCTGCTGATGAAGCCTTGACAACAACAGCTGGATTAAAATCTGAAGAGGTTATGAACTCCTTACGAATCTTAGCCATTATGTGAGGCTGTTAAAAAAAATCTACAACTGGTTACTTATGAAAAACAACATTACAGCTATATCTAGATTTAATAAATTATTACCATATTTCTAACAAAAGGTACTAAATGATACAATGCTTTAAAACAAAAACGTTTATTAAAATGATATGATATATATGTGTATATTAAATATACTTACAGCTATATTGTCTTTATCATATTCCTTTAACTGGGACAAAAAATTCATGTCTCCCAGTAGCTTTTTGGATGGTCCCCAATAATCCAGAATCTGTTTAAAATTTTTAATAATAAAATATAACAACATAATATATGTTCAGTAGAATAAAACTTTATGCTAGATGCATAGAATGAGCATTTTCAAGTCATAAATTAATAAGTATTGTAAAAAGCAGTAATATATTATCTTTATAACAATAATATTACAGAGTTAAGAATTATTACTTTATATATATATAATCTTCATTTTTTCAATAACATTCAGGAATTTTATCAACAGAATTCAAAAACACTTCAGCTGACTTCGATGGCATTCACTGTCTAGGAGTCTCCTGCATCAAAACATCCTTTCTGCTATGGGGATGATGGCTTCACTTAACAATAGCATGTTCACATGAGACATCTCAAACAGGACCGTGCTTCTGAGTGGTGTCTGACTTCATACCAATTGTCATACAATATAACTTTTTCTTTCATCACTCTTGAACTTCTCCAGTTTTGGTTTAAATGAGAGTTTATGAGAGCAGGTTCTTTTTTTTTTTCATTCTACAGACCATCTCTTCACACATGGCTCTCTCACAGGATGCAGTGATGAATTAGGGAATCAACATTATTCTTGTTCACAATCTCCTTTGAAAACAACAGTTCACATTAACATGTTGGAAATTTGGGTTATTCAGCATGCTTGTTTCCAGTTTCTGCTCATTTTATACTATAATTTCTTTGTTAGTTAACTCAAACAAGTCTACAGTGGTGGCTTACTTTAACAATCATGATACTACTCATTCTTGCAGCCTTTGCTTTCTTGCAATCCAACAGTAGTGGCTTACATTAACAACCATGACACTACTCATTCTTGCAGCCTTTGTTGTCTTGCAATTCTACAGTGGTGGCTTACATTAACAACCATGACATTACTCATTCTTGCAGCCTTTGTTGTCTTGCAATTCTACAGTGGTGGCTTATATTAACAATCATGACACTACTCATTCTTGCAGCCTTTGTTGTCTTGTAGTTCTACAGTGGTGGCTTACTTTAACAATCATGATACTACTCATTCTTGCAGCCTTTGTTGTCTTGTAGTTCTACAGTGGTGGCTTACATTAACAATCATGACACTACTCATTCTTGCAGCCTTTGTTGTCTTGCAATTCTACAGTGGTGGCTTACATTAACAATCATGACACTACTTATTCTTGCAGCCTTTGTTGTCTTGTAGTTCTACAGTGGTGGCTTACATTAACATCATGACACTACTCATTCTTGCAGACTTTGTTGTCTTGTAGTTCTACAGTGGTGGCTTACATTAGCAATCATGACACTACTCATTCTTGCAGTCTTTGCTTTATTGCAGTTCTATGTTAGTGGCTTACATTAACAATGAGGAGAGCATTCATTCTTGAAGCCTTTGGTTTGCTGCAGTTCTCAATTTTTTAGGCTTCATAATGAGTCACTGATTTTCTCAGGTTCAACGTTCATCATCACAAACATAAATGGGAGAACAACTGTATAATTATGTCTACTGATTCTACTAGGTTTACTATTTGTCACCATACAAAACAGTAAATATAGAGCAACATTATAGTCAGCTCTTTACCTTTTGACTTGAGCCTGCTGGGTCATTAATTTTCTCTGGCTTAATGTCCCTCATCACACATACAGCAGCCATCACCAGTTTTACTGCACTTGGAGGGTTCTTCATAGACTTGACTACAGTAACATCAGCTGGCTACAAAATAATTCCAACAATGGTTTGAAAGGTAGACGTCTTATATTTAGTTTATTGTGTTTCCTTATATTCAAACGAGGTTTACCTCGTATTTGGAATAATAAATGTTTTACTTCTCGTATATATACACATATACTTCATTTGAAATTAAACTATTTCTTTCTTGTGATTTAAAACATATAAAATAAAAATAAAATATAAACAAATATTTTTAAAATGTGTTAGGCAGTATGATAGTGATATGATTTTAAACTAAAACCTTGACCATTACAATGCATTTCATAACAAAAAATAATATGCATCTAAACAGATATTTTAGGAATAATTAAGATATTTCAAAGCTTTGTTATAAATCACAAAGAAATTTTGTATTATTTTTAAGTAAAAAACAAACCTTTAAAGTGTTAAGAGCAGCTAAGGCAGATTCTAAAGCTGGAATAGCCTCAGCAAGATCAGCTTCACACTCTTCCTTTAAAGACTGAGCTTCAATTGCCTGTTGATTGGCTATAGCTTCATCTTCTTTTACAATGGACTTAGTTTTTTCCACTTCAATAGATTCTGTTTCAATCACCTTTTGTATTAAAACAATGTTTTCTTAGATTGTTTTTCTTAAATCATAGAGAACACATACATGTAATTTTAGTTTTCAAAACTTCAGGAAATAATGCATAGCATTTACTCTATAAGATATTTCCTCCTAGAATCAAATTGTTAATAATCTCATTTTGGTTATAAAGAATGTGTTCTTTTAATTTTCACCAGAAGTATCCTATTTTGACTTTATATTTTACTGTGTAATACTTCAATCCTAAATCAAATGATATTAATATCACTTAAATATAAAACTGAATGATCATTATAATTATAATTCAGATTTAAATACACAATCTTCAACTTATACCAGGTTATCTGTAAATTAGGTGCTATCCTGTTACAGAAGCATTCACTGCATCTCACCAATAAATCTGAAGGCTTATATCACTAAAATTTTACATCAGATAGTATAATGTTACATGATCACTAAAACCTAAATCAAGCACTGCAAAGTACAACTTTATAATTATATCACTTACCAAGAACAATCCTACAGTTTATATTATAAGATTACACTGGAAGCTAGAAGTTAAAAATTTCCTTACCTGAAAATGTATTTCTGATAGATAACCACTTTTGCACACAGATTAGTTATATTCGCTGTGAAGCTGCCTTAGAGATTTGTAAGCCACTAACATTTTGGCAGATCCCACCTAATTTCGAAATATTATGCATGAATTGTGCTACAGCAAGATGGTGTCATCATGTGGCAAAAGCTCTACATCAATAAGAGAGCAACACACCTCAATGTGCAACAATTCCCCCTATACACTTGCACTCATGAATCTCAGTGAGGCAAGGAAAACAAATGTGCACAGGAAGGTGAGAGGATTAGGGAGAAGTGTGAGGAGGTATCTATTGAAAATAATTTTTAGGTAAAAAATGTTAACTTCTGAGATGATACCTCACCTCCACATACAATTTAGCTAGAATCTCATGGTGAAGTGGTGGAAAAGATTATGCAAATTTTACATAGATGAGCTCCCCTCAGAAAGTGTCCAAAAGAAGCCCATGGAGTGTGATACCCAATGGCAGGGGGCTTCATAGGGGCACACCCATGGGAGACTGCATTTATTCTTGTCCAGGATATACTCCCTGCCCAGTTGACAAAGAAAGATGATGTAAATGAGCCCCATGTGTCACAGGGATGGACAGAATAAGAGCAAGACCATCTGAGTACTTGCACACAAGTGGTCGGATAGCCAATATGTTGGTTAGGGCACAATCATACCATTCTTTGTCTGCTCACCTTGACTCCAACTGCAGGAGAAGGGCACAGCATTCATGCCAATTTGATTTAGATATAGTATGCACATCTCAACTCAACTGGATAGATACTGTCCACTGGAGAAGAGCACAGTTATGGAATGTGTGTTCACCTCAACACTACTGAACAAACTCTGGTTGCAGGAGGAAGGCAAAGCATCATAGTACTTGCTCACCTCAACTTAACTGAACAGGCTCAGGTTGCAGGAGAAGGGCACAAGTGGCAAGTGTTATATATATGAGATGTCACCTGCACTACATTACCAGTGTCACCACCCCACCATACTGGATCTCAAATGTATGTCATCCTCGCATACAAGTCTCTTTGTTTGTTTGTAGTTAAGCCCAAAGCTACAGAGAGGATATCTGTGCTCTGTCCACCACGCGTATCAAAACCCTGTTTCTAACATTGTAAGTCTGCAGACATACCGCTGTGCCACTGGGTGGCAGTATACAAGTCAAATTGGTGAAGGGTTCTCCATGGTCCACCACCCAAGTGGCTAGAAACTGGTAAGTGGCAAGGATATCCTGTGCTCCACTTGCTAAAAAAGTGGGGAGAATTCACAGTGGGGAGATCTAGAGAAAGTGCCCAAATCCCCATTAACCCTTCGGTCTGAAAAAGGTCTTTTATTGGAGACAGTGCAGTGGGGGACTGCAAAACCATGAGCCAGAGAAGTGAGCAAAGCACTCCCCTGATACTAGCTTTTTTAATGACAATCCATGGAATAGGTATGGTCTGGATCAGACATGTATGTAAATATATACATATATATTGCATGAGAATACTTCAAATGTCTTGCAGAACACTCCCTCTTAGAGTAGGCATATTTAGAGCCAAGATGGATGATATGAGCACTTTCCATCATCCTAGCTTGATGAAGATTTTGAGTAAGTAAAGTGAAAGGCACCACCAGCCACTTGATGGGATTTTATGATCACAAAAAAAAAGAACTTTACTCACCTGTCTGTAGATGGTGAGTAGACTGGAGAATGGTGATAGGAGGAAGTTGGTAATCTTCAGGAGACAAGATAACCAGATGTTGAAGACAGTGGTCAATGAAGGCATGTGGGGTAGTCTACATGCCTGTCTGAAGGATCTTGTCCAGAGGTTGTCAAAAACTGACAGCAAGAGTATGAGTAAGATGATGAAGCTAATGGAAAGAATTTGAAAGAGCCTGCAAGCATCAACTCCGATAAAAAGTAGTCCAAACATAGAATTGATGGATAAAAGCTGTAAGAGTAGAAGTAGATAAGTCTCTGAAAGAAGAGAAGTTCCTGGGAATAAAAAGACAGTGAAAGAAGCCCCAAATGGAGAAGTATGAGATAAGTCACAACAAACAGCTTGAACAGGACATAGAAGTCTGTCCAGATCTGATCAACCATAGAGATAGGTGAGAAAGTGTGATCACCTTCCCAAGCAGCAGAAGTTTTAAGAAGGAAGGAATGGTCTGGATAGAGAAGGATATAAGAGTGATGGAAGAGAGAAAAAATATTGATAGCACAGATGTCTGAATAATGGCAAACACAGGAAAGAGGTAGGAGGAAATAAATTTTGAGAAAGGTGTGGAAATAATGAACATGAGGCCAATGGCTCAAATGGTTCATGAGTGAGGGTGAAAAGAACCACATTGGAGTCCTAGTCAGACATTCTTGGTGGGACGAGGAGGAATGTGGAAAAGGAAGAAACAGAAAAAGATGGAGAAAACAGGTTAAGAAAACACCTTGTGGTACTTGGAAAGACAAAATGTCATGGATAAAGCCATCCCATGATCTACACTGGTGGAGATAAATAAGCTACAATGAAATAACCAGGTAAAGAAAGTAGAAAGCTGGCTTATATTAGGACGTTCAGGAAGAAGTTGGTTGTGAGTGGACCAATGATGAATGACACACACCACTTGAGTTCATGCACAGACAAGTTAGAAAGGCAACAAAAAAGACTTCATGATCTTAGATTTCAGCTCAACAGGTGAAGGGCTGGACAAATCTCAAAAGTGGAAAAAGAGGAAGGAAATCCCTTGATGAAATAGTGATGTGTGAGGTTGAAATAAGAGAGAAGGTATTCGTGAAAAGGTATAAGGGATCTGACTGCCAGGTTAACTAGAAGAGGAAACCAAGAATGTGCTGGCCAAAGAGGTGCCATCATGAGGACCTGGCAAGGTGTGTCCAAAATCAAGGCAAGGTAGGAGATGAAGAAGTGGATACGCCTAGAGGAAAAGGTGAGACCAATCCTGGTTGAGAGCATCGACAGCCAGGGCCAAGGGATGAGAAACAGCAGATGAAAGGAGAGGATGTTTGGAGTTGAAAGGTGTGGCAAAGGTATCCATGAGGAGCATGCCCAACTGAGAGGAGACCCAATGGAAAACCTGAGGATGAAGAGACCATTAAATGGATGAATTCAGCCCAAATGAGAGAGGCAGTCTGCAACATGATTCATAGTGCTTGACATTTGACAGATGATTAAACAAACCTGATGAGAATGGGCCCAATAAAAAAGGTCTAGATTTCAAAAGCAAAAGGTCCTGGATGGGGTACCCTTACCAGTTGATATAGGAAATGACCATGAAGTTGTTGGAATAAATCATAACCCAATGATCCACAAGGAGGGGAGAGAAATGGGGATATGCACAATGGAAAGCTAGAAGTTCCAGCACATTGATAACAGGAGTGCACTCATCCTGGGTCTAAGTGGCAGAAGTGAGGCTGTCATTCCGAGATGCTCCGAACTGGAGGGGAAGCACCAGTGAAGAGGTGAAGATCCCATCTGGGTGGAGGCAATAAAAATACATGAGGTGGTATAGGAGAGGTCTAGCCACCAAGATAGATCCTCAATTAGAGGAGGAGGCAGGTGAACTATGGAGAATAATGGATCCTGTGAGAGGTTTCAGTGGTCACACAATGTCTACTGGAGGAGGTGCATGTGTGCACGACCTAAGGAAAGAAGTAATTCCAGTGAAGCCATAGTCCCCAAGAGAGAGAGTGAGAGAGAAAACCTCTTGTGCAGAATGAGTAGGAGAGGCATGAATCTTGGTGACCAGTAGGTCCATAGCTCATGAGTAGATAGGAGAGAGTTGGCTGAAAAAAAATAGAGTTGAAGAAAACTTCCAAGTGTACAAGATACTGGATGGAAGTGAGGAAGGATTAGAAAATCTTGGTGAGCCACCCCAAATGGGCAGCCTCTTGAAGAAGAAAGGAAACTGGGTGTCTGGTTTTTTACATATGTGGGCAGGATTCTTTACAGTAAGTGTCTCTGACTTGTTGGTGATAAATTTCAACAATAAACAAACAGCACACAGTACATTTGTTTTAAAATAATATATTAAAAACAATCAAACATATATATACAAATGCTTGTTACACTGTTAATCACCACAGTTGTATCCAGAGATTTAAATAATTGTCTCTTTTTGTCAGAAGTCCTCATAGATTTGTTCAGTTACTTTAGAACACAATTGACAAGACAAATTATTATTCTCTACTCTGTTGTTACAATACAATCTGCAATAATTTCATTAAAAAAGTGCCACTATATGCTCTTTATGACTAAACTTAAAAACCCACACTCAAGATCTATTTGACTATATCTGTCACCAGCTTTGTCTAACTTACTTGAACTACATTTTGTACACATATTTATAGATAGCCCAACTGAATTCTTCAACTTTCTATACACTATGAGATATTATGATGTAATAATACTTGAGAAAAAATTAGAATGTTCTAGTAACATTATGCAGTAATACAACAATCACCAATTCATAACAACTGAACTAAAACAACGTATGATTTGTACACAGTTACGTAAACAAATCTGCAAAAAACTATAAATTCTAAAAATAACTAACTTTAACACTCATGCTATGCTTAAATGGAAACAGTTGTGTACATCTAACATTGGGAGTGGGCTAAGAGAAGCCAATCATCCATGTAGAAATGGAATCACAGACACAGTCCAGGAAGAAAGCAAGTGAAGGCCCTCATGATTTGTGAGGATTATGATTATGAAGTAAGAAACATGAAGTGTCATAAGGCATGAAAGAAAGAAAAAGAATAGTATGTACTTGTGATATTAAATCATGAAAGATCGAGGAAATTTGAAGGGGAGGGGGAGGTGATTAAAGTCTCTTTCCTCATTCTCCCCCTCAAAATAAGGGGAAGAGATACCTGAAGAATGGACAGGAGTTGAAGGTCCAGACTGCATGATGGATCACACAACCAGCTGAATAATAGCCATCACATCTTCTTCAGTCAACAAACCTCCAGAATTCATGGTTAAAATATAATCTGTTTGAATAAATTATTCACTCACACAAGTAAAAGTGGAAGTCACATTGATATATGAACTTATGGTGAAGAAAGAAAATGAAAACTACGTTTTGTTAACTGAGCAAATCTTGCTAAATTGAAGAAATTAAAACATGTCTGTAGTATTCAGTGGCAAGGACAAAAATGAAGATTCATGAGTGCAAGTGCATAGGGAGAGTTATTTTGTATGCAGGTGTGTAATCTTGCTATTGGTGGAGGGCTTTTTCCACATGTTGACTTCATCATGCAGTAGGGCAATTCACATATAATCTCATGAAATTAGGTGGGAATTGCCTAAAGGCTATTGGCGTGCAAATTTCTAGAACAGATGCATGGGGAAGATAGCTAAACTGTGTGCAGAGATGAGGTCTCATCTCAAAACATATGATTTTAGGCTGTATCTAGCAAAAATATTTGATACAAATCCAAAAGAGCTTATAATGTCAATGTGAAGGTCATTGGTTAGGCCACATTTGGAGTACTGTATTCAATCTTGGGATCCTTGTTTTAGAAAGGACATTGAATAGTTGGAAGGGGTTCAGAGAAGGGCTACTAGGATGACACCTGAGATGAAAAGGTTGTCATACAAGGATAGGTTAAGATCTCTGAAATTGTTTTATCTCTAAAAAAGAAGTGTTACAGAGGTGTTTAAGACTGTTATGGGAGTTGATCGTGTTTATAAATCATCTTCATGTTTGTACTTATATAGTAAGAATGGAAAGAGTTCAGGACATAAGTATAAATTTTACCAGGGTAAAAGTCATCTTCAGCTAAGAAAGCTATATTTTTCTAACAGGGTGACTGGCCTTTGGGTTGCCTTCACATGTAGCAGATTCAGTTAATTTAATTGAGTTTAAAGAATGGTTTGATAAAGAGTTGAATAATAAAGGCTGATTTGGGGTATTTTATTTTTATTTTAAAATTCAGTATATTGGATGGGATGGCTTAAGTTGACTAACAGGTTCCTTGTTGTCCTTAAATTAAAGGCATGGACAGTCTTTAATCGTATCTACACCTAACACAGAAAATGTAACTACCTGCTACACAAATGGCAAATTAGACACTCCCACATGTGATTTTGGACATCCAAATCAAACAGTCAGCCTCATTATTTGTGACCTAAATGCTGCTTTTCAGGAGATATTGGTGACCTCCACAAGGAAACACTTGGTGCCATCAAATTAATCTCAGAACTCAATATATAATACAATTTACTGTTCTAACACTCCATATAAAGAAGAGTAAATAAATATTCATATATCCAAAGTGAGGTAATCAGTCTTACTGACACACCTAATGACAACAACAACCAACAGTGGTTGAATGAAAACTCAATAAACAACATATATCTAAAGTGAGGTAATCAGTCTTTATACTTACTGTGATCATCTTCTCTGTCTCACAAGCGGCAACAACGAGTTGTGGCTGAAGTTCTTCTAACTCCTGTTGCATTTGTGTCACCTGTTGTGAAGCAAATGCTAGTTTTTCCAGGCCTACCATATAACGTTTTCTGGCTGCTAAAACCTCACTCTGTCTCTGACCTAAGAGCAACTTGAATGAAGAAATAAGTTCCAGATAAGAAGTGGGAGTAATATAGGTGTGGCGTCCAGTTTGGGCAAGAAACCTGTGTTGTGAGAAATAAAAACAATACTTCAATGACATTTTTGGTGGAACTATAATTTCATTATCTGCTAAGAAAATCTTTTAAAGGCCAACCTATGACTGCTGATTAGGTTGCTACTAAAGTTATTTAAAAAGAGTGGGAAACTTAAGAATTAAAATTTATACAGCCAGTCTCAGATTTGTGATTAGACTATTAGCAACAGTAGTTTTAATCTGATTAAAGTACTGTAATTTTTTTATCATTGCAGTTCTTAGTTATTATTTTATAGATTGTTGTTGTTTTTTTATTATATTTCTGTAAGAACTTGATTAACTTTGTAAATATTGACCTTGGAAAATAGCTTGCTTGCATTATCTTAACTGAATAATCAATGCTGTTGATATCAATACCAAGAGTGAGAAAAAAACAACAAAAAACTGAGCATTTATACCACTGTACAGAATTCACAGAGGCTCAACTTTCAATTATTTCAAAAATTTCTTACATCTTATGGAGTTCTCTTGTCTAATAAAAGTTTTTTATATGAATCTAGTGAACAGCTGAAATTTCTGCCACTTCAGATTGTTAAACTTAATTTGTAATGATCAATTTTATACTATAAAATTTTCTGAAAAAATAATAGAGTCAAAATATTTATTTTCCTTACATATGAATTCATTTGATTAATCCAATGAACTAATCTAGAATATTAGGGATAAAATAGTTAATTAACCCACTCAGTTAAAATATCCTTGGATGATAACACGGAACTTTAGAGTGCTAATCTAAATGCTAAATTCAATAAAAAAACTAGAAAAACATAAATAGTCAAAGAGTTCTTTATCTGTCTTAAACTATTTTATTACTGCCTTTAGAAGGTTGTTTTCCTATAATTTAAATTCACCAATAAGAGTTTGGAAGTCTTTACATATAGAGACACATTTCATTTGTATGGCATCTCTGTACTTTCTAGAAAGTGGTTGGAAATGTGATTCTTACAGTTCTTGAGAAAGCTGTTAACTCACATAGTATATTTTATACTCACCTCTGAGAAAGCTTAACAGCACTTGTGTGGAAGTGTTTACATACAGACACACATTTTACTCTCTCCTGATATGGCATCTCTGTACTCTCAAGAAAGTGGCTGGCAACACACTGAAGGGCATCCTCGGGCCAAGCCTGTTTAACATGGTTAAAAAGAAAAGGAGAAAGATCATAATCATACTTATGACTTTTTTCACAATCAGAGAGCATCATGTCATGCAAACTCTTATTTACAGTACATTACAACATATATGACTTTTACTAAAAACAAAGGGCCCAGCATTGCTAGGTGGTTAAGGCGCTTGACTCAAAATATGCAAGTTGTGAGTTCGATTTTCCATCCCACCAAACATGCTTGCCCTTTCAGCCGTTGGGGCATTATGTTTTTGGTAAAAGAGTAGCCCAAGAGATGGCAGTTGGTGGTGATGACTAGCTGTCTTCCTTCTAGTCTTTCACTGCTAAATTGGGAACAGATAGTGCAGATAGCCCTTGTGTAGCTTTGCATGAAATTCACAACAAACCAAATAAACTAAAAACTAAATTTCAGTCCATAACTTGCAATCACATGAGCAGGTCAGAATCTGATAACTTATATTAAACTGACAACTAGTAGATTTGCAAACTTGTTTTTCTTAGAAAATTACTTTGTTTTTAAGTTCCTTAAAAATTTCTTTTTGCTTTTAATTTTAATGCCTTTACCTATTCAACAGTGAATATATTTTTTAATAGTTAACTGAATTCTCCACCTTATTTCATATGCTGGAAAACATCCAAGAGATATAACATTGAGATATGAAGACATATCCCGCTTTATTTATATAGGAATCATTCAAATTTTACATTTATTCAGTTTGTATGAAATTTTAGTATAAACACATGGTCCTGAAAGTGGTTAAGATTGCCTTATTCTAGTTGTTTTGTTCTTGTTTTCTACATAGATAATGTATATTTTGCCCGAGAGGATAATTGCAATATCATTTAGCATACATGTTGAAAGGATTAGGATAGTAATATCATTGGTTATTTGGACTGAATTTGTCTAAATGTAACAGCTGTCCAATGCTGTGAGAGAACAAGGGATACAAGGTGATGCTGTCAACTAGACAAATAAACCAAGTTTAGCTATTAAGTTCAGGTAGGCTTTCTTAGTTCATTTCTACCTGGAGATCTTCGAGTAAAGAATTATTTTAAGATCATGGTATTTAGTTTGACAGAAGTCTCTTCTGAGAGAAAGAAAGCTGTGTAGCTAAGCACACTCCAGTAGAAGGGATTGTAGTTCTGTCTGTACAAGTACATAATCTGTATTTTCTTTTTGTTTCTCTAATAATAAATATTTTTTTCATGTGTACCAGTTTTGTTCCAGCATCTTTATTTCACACACTAGAAAAGCTTAGTTATCAGATTCAGAATTTATTATTTATTCCCTATTTCCATATTACATGGAACAAACACAATAATCTTACTTAAGATGATAAATTATTTTACAAGGTTTGAAGATTAATTTACAAAACTCCTCTGAGCATTTTTTACCTGATTAATCATATAAATTAATTGTTTTTATTTCACTCCAGTCAATACTACCCTAATCTCAATGGAAGTTTATGTTTTATCTTGAAAAAAAAACTGCTATTTAATAATCTGTCTAGTTAATACCTACCCAACTATCATCATTAATTTAATCATACTATAATTCTGCTTGTCAGTACACATTATAAGCATACACATTAAGAATTTTACCCAAGAACTTGACAACAACCAGCCTGCCTGTGGCAAAGAGCTGCAAAGCTAAGTGAAAAAGTCACTACAACTGCTCTATTAATGATGGAATAACAACAAAAGGCAGATGTAAATATACTTTACTAACCATTTTGTACAACAACACTAAAAGCTTAAAGTTTTCAAAAAGGTCTGATGTTAGATTGTAGAATAAAGTTATAAGTATATTTATCGATAGTACTAAGTAGAGTAATGTTTAGTCCTAACTAAACTAAAGTAAAAAACGTACACAGGTTACTGTGTTAATTTATATCTTTATCAAACTTAGGCCTAACATTAGTTAAGGTTTTATAAAGCACAGCCTATTTACAAGTGGACTTGCACATTTTGGTGTCTATGATTACAATTAATTTGTATTATTCTAGAAATCTTGTATTTAAAGAAGTACTGTTGCATTAATGATGATGATTTGACCACAAATGTTTTTTGACTCTTTGCTTGTTTTATTAAATAGAGTTAAGTAGTAATACATTCTTGGCCAGTCCAGTTCTTAAATATGTGATAATTTGATTAACCTTCATCATCTAGACTGACCATTCAGTTTACCTCATATAGTCCAGTCACTTTTACCTGAAACCAGTCCATGGTGCAACAGTTGACTAATGATGGAAATTGACGTAGTCGACTCCTGAAAGCCCCACCAATAGGGCTAAAAGCAATGATGATATGAAGGTTTTCTTGGCAACGTTTTACAAAGAATGAGAAAAGAGACAGTGGTGTGAATTCAGCATTCCCATTTGATGCTAGAGCAGCTGATCGAATCGACTAGAAAAAAAAGGTATAGACTATAATAAACATGGCTTGTTAAAATTTAATGCAAAATTGCTGAAATAAACAAATAGCAGTAAATTTTATAAACAGATATATTATTGAACAATGGACTAAATACAAGAACAACAGTAAAGCTTTATTCATATATAGGCTAATACAGAATGCAATTTAGGTAAAATAAATAGCAGTAAATTTTATAAACAGATACATTATTGAATAATGGACTAAATACAAGAACAATAGCAAAGCTTTATTTATATGTAGGCTAATATAGAATGCAATTTAGGTAAAACAAAACAAAGAGATGTAGTGATAACCTATGGACAAGATAAATTTTTTGACAGTAAAATTATATACGATGTAATGTCAATTAGAAAGATGTACAGTAAAAGAACTTGTTACAGATGATCATATCTGTAGTGAAATGTAAGTAATCACAAAAAGAACAAGCTAATCATTATAAATAAGAACATAAGGACAGTATACTTAATTAGTTATGATCTATGTAGGCAGTTTGCTTTGAACAGAAGTTAATATTAATTATGTCATGAGGAAAAGTCAAAGACAAATTTTGCTATTTGAAAGTTTGTTTGTTTGTTGTTAAGCAAAATGCTACACAATGAGCTGTTTTTGCTATGTCTACCATAAGTACAAAAACATAGTTTTTAGAATTATGAGCTTTCAGACTTACCAATGAGCCACTGCGGGCAATAGTTTTTATAGATACATATACATAGTACTACTACATAAGTATTCTGCACAGGCAGACATAAAACTCAGTACATAGTTTACAAAAATTATTTATAGAATATTGGTAGAAAACTAGTTATTTTGTGTAAATTAACCAATACAAGTAGGTCAAGTACATAAGCATTTTGATAGACTAATTCAGTGGTGTAGGAAGAAGTTGCAAAGTGGGTTGTTTGGCTAGACATGCATATTTTACAGTGAGAGACTGAAAGTATAAGGAGCTGCTATATAAGTCAAATATGTAAAAGTGGAGGTGCTACAGCACCCCTGTTTCTGATGCCTCTAGTACATAAGTAGGTGTTCTGTAGATTTTTGTATAGACAAATGTACAAAAGCAATAGGACTCTAGAACATTCTAAAGAAGATGTACTTCCTGAAAGCAACCTCTATCTAAGCCACCGGAATCACGACATGAAAGTAAGCAACACCAAGGCAGACAAACCTCTTTCAACTGAAGAAGCCCGAAAGGCAACACCACAAGCTTGGAATGATGGGACTGGATATACCTTACTCAACCAAAAGAACAGAACTCAGCCAGTCTGGAATTATGAACATCATCCTCACTCCTCAACCGAGTGGGCAAGGTACATTCCATTTGTCTTGAAATTATTAGGAGGATGTGGAATAACTGTGCTCAACCAAGGACCCAGGATGGGACCACTCTGCATTCGAAATTACAAGGAGATAGTGGACCCTCTTGCATGAACAATGTACTGAATCTATGTTGATCAAAAAAAAGGGCCATGCACACCCCCTACTGGATAGCCAAGCATCAAATCTGAACTGGTATTACGAGTAGACTCCCGCATAGGTTGGTGCCACTCCTACCAATATCTGGGGAAAACATCCAGGGATCTGGGTAGGAGGACCCCCAACTTTGCCCTCTTCTACAAGAGTGGAGAAATTCATTCTAACACTCTGGAGGAAAAGCCTCTATCCATCATTGCAGTGACTGGAAACCGGATGTGGTAAGGACTCCCTAGCTCCACTAGCAGAATCTAGAGGGAAATGAGCACTGGGGAGTCTGGAGGAACAGTGCTCTGGAAACAGTGCAATAGGTGAACCAAGTTCCCTACATTTTTAAAAGCAAACCAACCTTGACTTATTCAATCCAAAGATTATCAGGGACGGGCAAGATCCACTTATGCTTTATTCATGATAGTCCATGAGTGGCAAGCCATTATAGAACAGTAATATCACCTAGTCTGCTTCTAGATGGTCTTATGGAATACCTCATTTCTACAGAGCCTGTTGCAATCCGTACAAAATATATTCAATTAGTGGTTGCTATTGCAGAACTGGTTTGATAACAGCACACCTGGGATCCTGTGAAAACAAGGTAAGGGGCCCTGAAAGTTAGAAATAAAAATACTTACCCCTTTGGATAGTCTAACAGAAATGGTGAAGATAGCTACAGGGGGTAGGCAAAAATCCTCAGAGGAAGAGATGGCCAGATCATGCATATAAAGTGAGATAAAGGTACTGGGGGGAGATTCACATACCAGTATACACCATGACCTCAAGCTTTTGACAGGGTCAACCATGAAAAGTTGATAAAATGCTTGAAAGGCCTATATATAGACGACAAAGACCTGCAGTTGATACAAAATCTGTATTGGAATCAAAAGGTATTCATGAGGACCGAGGAGGGATTATTGCCAGAAATACAAATTAAAAGAGGAGTACACCAGGGATGTGTCCTTTCCCCATGTCTATTTTATTTGTACACAATTCATCTTTCATAGCATTGAGAGTAATAAAGGTATTAAGACTGGTGGCATGGTGATAAACAGTTTAAGATATGCTGATGACACTGTACTGATGGCTGAAACAGAACATAACTTACAAGATATTTTGAATGACATGAATAACACAGGAAAGAGGTATGGAATGAAAGTGAATGCTAAGAAGACAAGGAGTATGCTGATAAGTAGACATGATAATAAGCCAGAAATTCAGATAAAATTAGAAAAAAAAGACATACAACAAGTAGAGACCATAACAGGTGATGGAAAATGTGAAGCTGAAATAGTGAAGAGGATCGAGGTGGGAAGAGGTGTGCCTTTTATAGTATGAAAACAAGTCTGACATCAAAGAGCATAAGTGTAAAAACAAGGAAGAGAATCGTAAAGTGCTATATACGGTCAACTCTGTTATATGGCTGTGAAACATGGACCTTCACACAAGCATTGAATAACATACTGGAAGCATTTGAGATGTGGGTGTAGAGAGATATGATGAAAATATCATGAATAGACAAGGTAACAAGTGAAGAAGTTCTCAGTATGGTGAATGTGAAAAGATATGCTGTACCAACAATCAAGCTGAGAAAAGTAGCATATTTTGACCATATGATGAGATGAGACAACATCCAGTGAGTCCTACTAGAAGGTAAAAAAAAAAAAAGATAAAATATACAGGAGAAGACCAAGAACAGTGTGGATGACAAATATTAAAGAGTGGACTGAGATAGTAAAATATGAAGACTTTGTGAAAAAAGCACAGAACGGAAAGAAGTGGAGGATTATGACAACCAACCTTCCTGAGGAAGAAGGCACATGATGATGATGATGATGATGATGAATAATGGGCAGGTGCCAGAGGATTGGAAGCTGGCTAATGTTACTCCTCTTTCCAAGGGAGGTGATAAAAATTGTCTCAGTAATTATAAGGCTATTAGTCTCACATCAGTTGTGGGAAACGTTTTGGAAAGTCTGATAAAAGATGTTTTGCAAAATAATTTAACAAAGTTTAGAATATTAATGGATGGTCAACATGGTTTCAATAAGGGAAAGCTTTGCCTTAAAATCTTTTGACTTTCTTTGAAAAGGTTAGTGCTTATGTAGATGAGGATAAGGGTGTACATGGATTTTCAAGATGCATTTGACAAGGTGCTACACAAAAGACTTGCTAAAAACGTTATATATCTCTCTCTCTCTATATATATATATAAATATAAATGAAGTTCAGCCAAACAGGATTAATGTTACAAGTGGGGGTACCATAGTTCAGGGATCAGTTTTAGGACCTTTGATCTTTTTAATTTACATCAATGACATAGATGAAGGTATGGTCAATAAATCACTTAAATTTGCTGATGATATTAAGACCTTTGTTGGTGCTGGCTATGAGAAGGATATTGCTGCTTTGCAAAAGGATTTAGATTAGTTAGTAAGTTGAACAAATAAATGGCAGATGGGTTTGAATTATAATAATGCAAGATATTATATGTGGGTTATCATAATTTGAATTATAAGTATAATTTGGATGGGAATAACCGTAACAGTGTTATGGAAGAAAAGAATCTTGATGTAGTGTTTGATCAGTCTCTTAAGCCATCCAAGCAGTGTGCTGTTGCTAGTGGTAGGGAAAATAGGATCTAATCAAAAACACCTTAGGTGTGAACAAAAAATATGCAGCCAAAAAGGAATTAGCATGCGACTTAAAGGAATGAAATCAAAATTGGCAGCCAAATGGTAGTTACACTTGTAGTACTGATAAGAATTTTACAGCAAATATTCATTCATGTTTTTTGTTCAACTTGAAGCATGATAGTGGGTAAAACAAAATATGCGGGCCTAGCTAATTAATGAATGAATATTTGTTATAGGTGTTATTTTTTATGCTAATTACTTAAGCTAATATCATGTGATGTTAAGTGCTCTTTAATTTGAAAAATGTCTTAAAATTGAGCAAATTTATGCTTAAAAGTTGGCAATGAATAATAACTGTCCATCTGTATGATTATTTTCAAAACAATCTAATTTGCTTGCATATCTGCATGTGCTTTCACCCTATAGTTTTGCTGCCCTAAATCACCTGTATTCAATTCAAATGACAAAAAATTAAAGGTCCACTTTTACTCTAATAACTTTAGACCAATAGCTCACGTGACTTTTTGTGTAGGTGTGTCCAAAAATTGTGGTAAAAACTGAGTGTTTTTTGTTGAATAACTATGCAAATTTAGCATATATTTAGACCAAATTTGACAACTATTTATATGTTGTAAAGTTCCAAATTTGAAAAAAATGTATGATCCCTATTTTTGGTGCAAATAACAAAAGGAAGAAATTCAATGAAAATTGGAGATTTTATATCTCATGTATTTCTTAATAGATTTCCTTGAAATTTGGTATATGAATTAAGATTTCCATAGAGCATATCAACTGAAAATATGTGATAGTTTGGATTATCTTAGTCCAAGCTATAGAAAGTGTAGAATTGCTAAACTGTCACTTCTGAACATTAATAACACAGTGTTTCCTGCATGACAGACTACCGCTTGTATCTACAGATATATTGAATACAAGTCTAAAGAGGTTATGATTTCATTGTATAGGTCACTGGTTAGGCCAGAATTGGAGTACTGTGTTCAGTATTGGGCTCCTTACCTTAGGAAGGACATTGAACTGTTGGAAAGGGTTCAGAGAAGGGCTACTAGGATGGTTTTCTCTTGAAAAATGAAGGGTTAGAGGGGATCTGACTGAGGTGTTTAAGATTGTTAAGGAAATTGATAGTGTTGATGCATCATTTTTTCTTAATTAATTGTGGATATAGTAAAACTAGGAGGCACAAGTATAAATTTTGGCAGGATAAGTCATCTTCAGCCAAGACCATGTTATTTTTATAACAGGATATTTGGCCCATGGAATGGGTTACTTTTGAATGTAGTGGAAACAATATATATATATATATAAGTGAGTTTTAGGGAAGGCTTGGTAAATATATGAATGGTAGGTGCTGGCTTGGAGGTATTTTTAATAGCTTTAGTTTAGTTTAGTGGATGGAATAGCCTAGATGGACCAATAGGGCCCTTGTTGTTCTTAAATATTATGTTATGTTATTGATTTTTAGCTTTCTTTATATTACTAATGAATGGTTCTCAGTTGCTGTTTTTAGATTCTGTATGCTGATGATGGAATTTGTATATTACAAAAAACCCATTGGAGTGAATAAACAACTGTTGACAAAAACATTTGTTACATCTGTGGTGCTTCTTTTTATAACCAAAATAAGATTTCCACCCAATGACTCCAATGCAGCTATGGTGATTCACAATTTGGACTTAAGGTTTAAATATCTGAAATATTACAGACAACTTATACCATATATAAGGAAAAGTGAACACAAAATTTCAAAAATATGTTTTTCAGTAGAAGGTTTCCTTCTTCACAGACCTCCATATCCTCTTCAATGCCTCAATAATGACAATGCTGTTTTACACACTACTAACTACTTCAATATATTCCATAAAGAATATAAATTCTGTAATAACAAATATATGATCAAAAAATCAATTATTTTTCTCTATACTGTACCTCTATGATCTCCTGTCTTTCATCAATTGCATACAAATTTGGAACTTCTCCTGAGTTCAACAAACTATCTATGTCCTCCAAGAAGACATCTTCTTTAATCACGGAGTCTGTGATTAGGAATACTGTGGTTTTACCATGGACCCCAGCTCCTTTCAAAACAAACTTTCAAAAGAGAAAGCACATTAATCAGGAACCTATTATATTTAAAAGAAGTTTCTATATACTCAAAGACATAGTGGTTTTAGTTTTGGCTCCAACTCTTTTCGACAAAAAAAACCTCCACTGAGCTCAAGAAATTGTTTACACTATTCAAAAAGTATTTCTTTATTTGGAAGTCTGTGATTAGAAAAATAGTGGCTTGATTAAGTGGTTAGCTACTTTGATTAATAAGAACTGCATTACTATCCATGGAACAGAGCTTATGGCGTTAATGATCATTCTTATAACTGACATAATTAAGAAGGAGTGGCCAGTATTATTAAGATAATTAATTTGGATAAATTAAATTCTGTTAAATATCTATGATTTGCTTCTACATCTCTCTCACACTAAATGTTGTAGTAAAAGAACATAATGATAATTAATTAATGGCTCTTGAGAAATTTGATGCATAAATATTAGGAAAAAAACTTGTTTTATTATAGTTTAAATTTAATTTTTAGCTCATGATGATATTAAAAAAGAAGCAAATCTTTTCTTAAAAATAAAACTACTTATAAGCTTCTGCTAAATGTTATTTACACTATATAGCTACTGCCACATGAAAAATGTAAGAGTTAATAATGTACTTTTAAAACTTCATGTGAAGCCCCAGCTATCTTGTCCCATTTTTATAAGTTGTGAATTTGCTTTAAAAATAAATCACCTTTAAGTCTTCTTTCCATTCTGAGCATCCATAATGTTTGGAAATTTCAGGTTGAAAGAGACTGTGTCCCATCATAGTTGTAGCGAGTCGAGTGAGAGATTGACGCCCACTCCCTCCAACCCCTACAAGTAAAGCATTTCCACCAGGAGTACCAAGAATGCGACAAATCCTGGATAAATGTTCTAGTACATATCTGTAAAATATATTATTTATATTATATAAAATATTCTTGTATAACATTTTGTTAACTAATTTTATATAGTCTGTCTGTCACAAACTAGGAATAACTACCAATTAATATCTGGCACTTTAGAAAATAGATAAATGATCCAGAACACATTAAACAATGTGTAGTAGTATATTCAGATAACTTTAAAGATACCTCATGAATTTCAGAAGATACATTTATGTCAGTGATAGTGAAATGTATTTCTCAGAGTGTGATATTATAAATGTAAAAAAAACTAGTGTTTTACAATTTGATTTTTATTGTGTTTTATATTTACACTAGCTATGCATCAACGTTATAATTTTCCTATACTGAAAATGTATTTCCAATAGGTATTTACCCCCTCTCATAAGATTAGGTTTTCTTGTTCTGTGCTGCCCTCTCTATGCAAACTTTTTAAAATCTTCCAACACGTCTCTCATGTAAATCATCATACATCATCTTTTAACCAATAGTAGCCTGACATGCTCACATGACTCATGTGACTCCTTCTACACTCCTCTAATGAACCTTCACGTTGAAGTTTGCAGGAGGCGCGAGCACTGTAAAGTTGGGAGAAAGGGTGAAAAGTTTGAGAGGAGGTAAGTACCTGTCGGAAACATTTTCAGTATAGGAAAATTATTACTTCTGATACGATACTTCTCTCCACTCACAAGATTAGCTAGAATCCTACATTGAAAAGGAAGAAGGACCAATGAGAGGGAACAAAATAAGCACCCCTGAAAGCATCCAAAGGATATCTCTGAACCTGAGAGACAGAGATCTGAAGATCAGAAGAGGGGAACTGCACTACGTCTGAGCCAGATATACTCTTCACCCAAGTGAATAGTGGGACATACACAAGAGCAGAAAAGTAAGGTGTAGAGTAGCTAGGATGCATCAGACTGTACTCGGTAAGTCTACTACATTCAAAACCTCCCTGTGGGGCACTAACATCTATGCGGAGGTAAGATGAGGATCATACTGTCTTCACCTCAAACTCAAATATTGCGGGTCTTAAAACCCGCACCAATATCTGGGTATGCCACAGTGACAGGATGTCCATCAAGTGGAGTCAACTCCCCAATCCTGGCACAGACCAGTACCATCCAAAGAAGATAACACCACCATAAGAAGAACAAGGGATAGTCTAGGAGAGCACTGTAACCAGCTCACTAACTACGCAGTGACAAAAGACACAGACGAAGCAACTGCAGGAGGAAGAGAGACAACTTGCCTCCGTCGGAGGACTTATGTTGATTGGTTCACTCTCATTGAAAACTTCAATGTCAGAAACAGACATCTGCATGAAAGTAGGATGAGGGCATCCAATTGAAGGGTGAACTGCAAGTGCAACAGCTCAACTCCAGCATGAAATTAAAGTAGATTAGGAGGCAACATCATCCTGTAAGAGGATGGCTCAACTCCAATTGATGTGTAAAAGGACATTATCTCGCAAGGTGATGACTCAACTCCAGCGGGTGTACTAGAGATAAGGAGGTGACAAATCACATCATCCCAGAAAGAAATGGCTCAACTCCAGTGCTGGTGTGTAACATGATCAGGAGGCCATACCAACAAGGCAATGGCTTAACTCTTCTGGAGGCCATGTTGCATCTACACCAACAGAGCACCACCACCCTAATCTCAAATGAATGGTCTAGGGAACTCATTCAGAAGGGTGCCTCCATGGTTTAACACCCCAGCAGCTTGTAACCGAAAGGCAAGGGCTCCCATACTCCACTCGAAGAAAGAATGGTGACTATTTGGTGGAGAGCCCAGAGAAACGTCATCACTGGAAATAGTGCAATGGGTGACCATGAAACCTATTTTGAAAAGCAGACCACACTTGGTTATTCACTCGAGGCATGGCAGGGATGGGTAGCAATACACTTATGCACTACCCATGTAGTCCATGGGTGGTACAGTCTGGGACGAGCATGTTTATGAAACTGGAACATCCCATCTCAATGGTGAGCATGTATAGCCATGGACTAGAAAGCGTAAGTCAACATGGTGGACAGTGTGGATTTAGAGTTAAAGAATACCTGGACAGGTGCCACTCACCACAGAGCTGGATTCATGACAAAAAAGGAGAGAAAAATCCCCTGATAAAAAAAGATAATGAAGAAAGCTTACCATTCAAAGTTGCACCAAAATCTAAAGAATGGCCATAGGTGGAAGATGAAACCCCGACACCGAGAAAAGTATGATATGATGAAGATAGTGAGAGATGAACATACTAGGAGTGGTCTATATGCCGGATTGGAGAATTTCCTCCACTGGATGATGAAGACGAGAAGTGAGGGAAAAAGTGATATGTCGGATCTGATGGGAGGAAGAAGGTAGGGAACAATACGTCAAATGAACCAAAAGGTGGACCTAATTAGTAAAGGTAGAAGGTGAAAGATCATAAAGGGAGGAGGATTGCCATGGAATAAAAAGTCAGTTGCATGTATTCCAAAAAGTGGCAGTACGTGCTACATGACAATGAAGGGCCCTGATCTGGTTGAGAGTAAAGATGGGATATAGAAGGAAGGGAAATAGGAGAAAAGTATGAACAACCCTCCTGAGCTGCCAAGGTCTTCGGGAGAAAGGAACGATCAAGATAAAGGAAAAGAAAGGTAGTGTGATAAAAGTTATGTGATACATCTATGGCAAACAGATCCGACAGAAGAAGGAAATAAGTTTTAAGAGACAGATGAAACAAAGAGCACAAGGAAAGTGAGGGCATGGAGGACCACATTAATGTCTTATTCTGAAAGGGTAGGATATCTCAGCAGCCATCTAATCCTGAAAGAATGCATGAACCCAGTAAGCACAGGAGAAAGGAAAACCTTATGGTGTCTGAAAAAAGGAAGGTATGGGATAGGGCTGCCTGATATCCTGAAAATGAGGAGACCAAGTAACCATAGTCACACAGCCAGCTAGGTGAGAAATTCCGTAACATGAAACACAGATGGCATGTCAGCAAAAAATCCTCTGTTAACAGACCAACAGCAGAAGACTTTCCACTTATGTTGGTATAATTCTAAAGAAGACGGTTGTAAGGAACCAGCTAACAAGGAGGCAACTCAACACGTGAAGCTGGATCCTCTCACCAAGGACTGGACCAAAGCCATCCATGATGACAGAGAACAGGGAGGTTGGATCGAGGTTGATGAAGAATGGAGGGTGGAAGTGGAACTGGTGGTCTCAGGTGGTGTAACCTAGGAAATTAAGGTTGTGCTGGCCAAAAGGATGCTATTAGGAGGACTTGGCAAGGAGTGGAATAAACTAGAGAAATCTCCATATGCAGCAGCTAGATTGGAGGGTACACATACAGGTATTTGTTGACCAATCCTGGCTGAAAGTATCGACTGTCAAGGCCTAGATGGACCAGGTGTTGTGCAGGTCATAGGAACGACTTTTCCAGTTTGATCAACCAGCCCTTTTGAGCTGCCACAGAAAGGAGTAGCCAATACTTGTTTGCAATGAGCCGGCAGGAGCCAGTCATCCATGTAGTAATTAAATTGCATCCCCAGAGCATGAAGATGATGAACAAAAGCCTGGATGATGTGGTAAAACACATAAGGAGCAGATGTGAGTCCAAAGAGAAGGGCTCAAAATTGGTAAACCACCCGAGGTGGAGAAATCAAAGATTAGGTCAAGACTGCTGGGCAATTGGGGTGTGAAGATAGCATTGGAGACATCCATTTTCATCATCCACAATCCCAGCAAAAACATCCATCTCAGGGTGAGAAAAGACTACATGGTAAACTTGGGAAGTGCAATACAGCAGTTGAAGTGAGATAAATCAATAACTGGCTGCAATCCCTGGGGACCATGAAAAGACAGGATAAAAACCCCCAGAAAGGTGGCTGGCCAGTTTGATATCCTGCTGCAAAAGCAATTCTTGAACAACCCCTGACAGATGCTGGCATGCCACGGGGTCTGGAGGAAGAGGAAAGGAAATGGGGCAAGGTGAGAGAGGAGGAGGGGAAAGAAACTGGAGAATGAATCCTTCTGACAGAACCCATATCATCCATTGATCCTAAATGAAGGGATGCCAGAGAGGAAGAAAGTCCAACAGTCGAGCTCCTAGCGGCTGCAAACCCACAGGGTAGTCACCAGTACTGTTAGCAATGGATGTTTCGTCATTGAGGAAATCTACAAAAGTATCCTGACTAGCAGGAATGGGTAAGGGTTGGGAGGATGAAGGACGGAAGACGGGAAGAGGGGGAATTTGAGGCTCTGACTGAGACAAATGGACGACTAAGGACGTGAGGGTGGATTGCTGATGGGCTGATGTAACCTAATGCTCGATAGTTTCTGGTACAGTACCAAAGACATGATGTTGCAAAATGGAGAAAGATATAATTCCTGTAGAGATGGAGAGGGTAAAATGATCCAGGCCAATACAGCATCCATACCAAATATGGTCCCAAAAGCAAAGAAACCACGCGTGTAATGCCAGAGCTGATGAAGAAATGCAGGCTAATGTGGAGGAGAGAATGTGGAAGGTACCCACAGAAAATACCATAGAAGAGTGGTTAGGGTAAGGCAAAGGTGAGAATATTGGGTAGGGGTAAGACTAACATTATAATCGGGAGCCGCCCCTCAAAGAGGTAACAACGAACCCAACAACTGCTGATCCAAAAATGGATAATCAGCACAATGGTAAGAAAGAGTGTGCTGATCTGAAGGCCTCGGGGTGCGGCATGCCAATCCCTCTCACTTAACTGAGAGACAAAGTAATCAGTACGTACAAAAAAATCCGTGAAGATCGAAGTAGGTCTAGATGATTCCTTAAATAGTAAGTGGGAAGAAATGGCAAACTCTGGAGGCAGAAATAGATTATCAAAATCTTCGTCATTTTGTAAATTTCCGCCCATTCAGGAAGAGCCTGGGCAATTTCAGGGGACAAAGGTTGATTCATGTAGCATTCAATCTCCCTAAGTATAAAAGCAGAAAGATCTTCTGCCGGGTCATCTGCACCTGAGAAACAACACTAGTTGTTGGTGTGACTCACGAACAGGAAATACAAACCTCAGAATTCATAATGCAAAACAGAACTCAGAAGTGATCAAGTTTTGCTGAAATAGATAGCAACAAATTGAACTGGTTTATAGTAGAAAAGAAATTAAAAGTTAAGTTAAAAAAGATACCACTTTGGTAGGGAAAAAAATGTTCCGTCACCATACTGTAGCACAACCCCCCCCCCAAAAAAAAACGGCTGCCAAATGAGAGGTGAAGGTTTAATAGAGGAATGCAGAGGGAGTCACATGCGTCACGTGAGCAAAGATGTTTAAGAGACACATGATAATTTGCATTGGAGACATGTTGGAACATGATATTTCCAACAGAGCGGGGTGCACAAGGCATGCATTATGAAAAGTTTGCATATAGAAGGCAGAACTGAACGAGAATAGCTAATCTAGTGAGATCAGATAAGTACCGTATCGGATTTGCAGTAACTTAAATAACCAAGTTCGTGATTTTTAAATATGGACGTAACAATTTTATAATATTACGTAAAAAATCTATCCTTCTTTAAGTCCTCTTCACTTTTGTAAAGTAAATATCACACACAAAAAAATATACTAGAACAGTAGTTTTTAGGGTGACACAATTAAAATAACCAACTTAAAGTGATACACCTTAAATGAAAAAAAAAAAATATATATATTCTGAAAAGTTTAATAACTTCCCAACATTGATTTATA